ATGTAAAAAACAATGGTGAGCACTTCAAACATATAAATGAGGAAGACTGCACAAAAATCAAAAGAAAGGAAATTTGGGGACCCTCATTCTGTCCTTTGAACTGCAGGAGCCATCCTCTTTGAGCAGAGCTGACAGCCACATCTGTTCAAGCACCTACAGTATTACTCAGCTGCTGCAGGGTGAGTTCTTTAAAATGCACAGAGATGCAGCAGAGGTAAGCCAGGCTATTTTTTTTATAAGAATATAAGTGACTCTATTACATCTCTCACAATACTTTGCGGTCCTGTTCCAAGTTTTGTGACTTCCGATGATCTGAACTTATCTTTATTTGACTTTACATATCATCGGGAATAAGTAACAGTGGGATTGTTTTTCCTAATCACACAGCAGGAAAATAAACAAAACCAGCCTGGAAACAACTGAGAACCAGCTTTTTAATCCATTTGCATTTTCTATAGTCTTTGCAGCATAAGAAAGAGTAAAACAATTAAATACTCTGTAACACCATTAATATTATTTAAACTTATTTACCTAAGTCACTATGGTAAAACATTAGGTCAAAGGACAAGCAACAAAGTTCAAAGGATGCCTAAGACGCGCACAGCAGTTGCAATTTGTTTTTTTCTAAGGGTTGTACAGAGGAAACGCGACAGAATGCCAATCGTTTCTCTTCCTTTTCAAAGGATATACTGAGAACCTGCAATAGACAGAAAGCAGAGACTTCCGTCAAAATAAACCAAGTCTAAATTTTTCAAATAAAGAACAAAACTGCCTTCCACAGACTATGCGTGTGGGCGAAAAAAAAGGAAGTTAGAAACCCATTATGGGAATTTCAATTTCTCCACAAGAACTAAAACCTGTTTATGAATGAATTCATTTCAACATAGAATGAATGCCTCATTTACAATTGATATATACATTTTTTCTTTGGTATTTTAAGACAATACACTGAATTTGAATTTTAAGTTTTTACAAACACAGTACAACAGTACATGTGAAAAAATAAGGTGCTCCTTCATCATCTAGATGTGGTATTTTATGAGTGGTTATTCAAGTGTCTAATAAAATCTGGATAAATACATAATGTATTAAAATCGACATCATTAGATTATAATAATATCATAACACAATATATTATTATTAGTAGCAGCAGTAGTAGTACTGAATATATAATCCTTTATTATTAAATAACACCAAATGCTTTAACACAAGAGTTTCAAGGTTAGAAAAGGAAAAGGCTCTTCCTTACAAAAAAGTAAACATTACAAATGATGCACTAGAAGTTTGTGCCCTGGGTTGATACAGGTTTGTCAAGAAATCTGACAAAATACAAGCACAAGCAGGAAAGATAATGAGGTGCTCATGGCTGTGGGTAACCACAGAATACTAAATGCGACAAAAACAGTGTTACAATAGGAATGGAGAAGTTACACTGAGCACTCTAAGCCACATTAAAGCTGTAAAATAGGTATTATAAATATCCCCGTTTGATTGAGGAAAATAAAGTCTCCTGCTGTAAAACAGCGTTGTTTTTTTAATCCTCTTAATCTAAATCATTTTTAATACAAAGAATTTGGATTTTTATTTAATACAATGTAAAAAGGATACCTGACATTTTATACTCAAAACTGACATGGAATAGCAATGAAAAGCACGGCTCAGTTTCAGGACAGGCTTTCCTTAATTCTCCTTAAAACTGTTTGTTGGGGGCAGTTTTTAGTTCAATCCTGTAATTATTGAGCATGGACAATCAGAGACATTATATGAGGATGTTTCAAATACTATTCTTAATTTTACATTTCTATTATTATTCCTGTTCTAATTCTTATTAAAAGCATCCATAAGGCCAGAGTACAACAGCAAAGTCTGATTGCACTTCATATTACATTTCTTGCAGAATACTTGTTCTAGCCAAGACCCAGGCTACCCTGCTTGCACACTCAGGCAATGGGTTACACCTCTTTAAGAAAAGGGTTAAATGAAGGCTGATAAGAGAGTACAGAACAAGACATAGGTTGCTCCAAAGAAACTGCAAAAAGCACCATACCATGTGTTTCTGTTTAGAATAAGAATGACAACTTTATATTTTTTCCTTTCTAAGTAACAGCAGTGCAGGCGTTGGTCAGGAGACCAGAGAGGAGAGAACAGAGAAGGCAGTAGGCAGTCTGTGCTCTGACATTGTGGTAAGGGCTGAAGGATGGGGAAGGTTTGGGCTAGGAGCTCCCTCACAAAACCCCTTGACAGATGAAGGACAGCTCCTCAGCAAACACGTCACACAGAAAAGTCCAACAATGTTTTCCACAAGCATACTTAGACGCTTCCAATAATCTCTGCATTGTTGCACCCAGACTCCGTCAAATCACCCAGATCTTTTAACAGCTCCTCTCTTGATCCTGAAATGTCTCATGTTAACAACAAAGACAGAAGAAGGTAGCAAAAGTTTTTTTTAACATCTTTTTTCCTCACTAGGACAAAAGGCTTTGTTCAGGCAGTGTCACATTATGTGAGGAGAATTCCAAACTTACTATAGTCTACATTTTTTGCAGGACACATACTGAATTGAAATTTTCTGTGGTGCCCACCCATACAAAGTTAAGTGTTGTACCACTCTTATGAATATGGGTATTCTGCAAGAAATATGTTGATATAAGATGTGATAAAGTACTGTCTTTCATGTCCTAATTAACATTTTAAAAAATATTGTGAGATTGGAAATTCAAATCCAGGCCAGACAGTTTGTGGAGGGATATTGAAGATCATGTGGCACGAACATTCTTCACTAATTTGCAAACTTTACTGGCGCTGGTGCCGTGTATGAGGAGATGCTTATGTATTTTGCTGTCAGGAAAATCACCACATCCATACATTGTTTGGACTTAAGGCATAATCCTTTCCATTGATAAAATTATGTTGAGTGCGCCTGGCTGAAATTCCACAAATACAGACCCAGTGCACATGCTTTTTCCTTTCTGGTTTTCCTTTAATTTGCAAATCTTGTAATCTAAGACTAAAGCTGACTGAACCAACTTCTAAACCAGCAAAGCTCTATCAGCCAAAACAGAAATCTGTTTTCCATTTATGTGTCAAGACTGCATCCTTTTTGGTGGTTGACAAAAGCTGTTATTTCGAAATGATTATACACTAAAAATTGTGTGAGGACCTTAGTAAGTTTATGAACTAGTTTAATGGAAAAAAGAGATTAAAATGTGTCCTGAGGTTTTTAAATATAAAGTTATTTACGAAACACTTCTACTGGGACAACAGGAGCCAAGCCATTCAGCCAGAGGTCAGAGTTAGGGTTTTAAAACACTTCAGATGCAGTGCTAACATCTCAAGAGTGCAAACTTAAACAATGATGCCCTCTTTCACTATCAAAGTGGAAATACCATGTCCATGCATAGTGATAAATGGGAGTGCCTCACCAACCCTGAGAACAAGTGAATGCAAGTCTCATCTGATTAGAAGTGTGCCTTTACTTAAGTCATTCATTCACTTGTTCTGTCGGAGAAGACGCCACCTTTGCAAATCCATATTTTGGTGTAACAATACAGCCGTAGCAAAAAGTCAAGCTGATGAAATAGGATCTCTCCTTCACTCTCCTCCACAGTGTGCCAATGACTGCCAGCAATCCGCACTAAAGGAAAGCCGCTTAAAAAAAAAAATGTATGACAATAGTAGTGAAATAATTTATCAAATAAAACGCACGCACACAGGTCATGCACAGGATAACAACAGAACACGGTTTGAGGCTCTGGAATACAACGACAACACCAACAGAAAGATTTCTTTGGGTGTATCCTGTCTGTGACGTGCAGCCCCAATGAGTGGCAGCTGAACTGTGCCTCATTTAAAGGCTGCACGGCAATTACTTGTGAAAAGAGCTCCATTTCTTCACAGTTTATTTCTTAACTTCCGCTGACAGGCGAAGGGCTGTTCTTTTTCCCTGGACGGCAACGCCAGACATTGACCGTCACGTGGAGCTCAGAGAACCCTCATGGCACCCTGGAAAAAGCTCCACCCCTCACACGCTGCTGGTCAATAATCCCTGTTCTGGCTTCATCTCAACAGACCACTCCCTGGCCCCAGCAGTGCAGGCACTGGCCCTTTGATGCTGCCTTCTTATGTTCAGTAAATTATAGGTTTTCAAATGCACTTAAGATTTGTACCTCATAATGTCTAAATGTCACACAGAATGAACGCTTTGTAAGTCTCTTCTGCTTTCAAATGAGAAACCAATAAAAGGACACCAAAGGAACATTCCATTAGCACATACAGCGCCCCACATGTTAAACGTATTAAAAATGGCTATCCTAAAGCTTCATGGTTTATGTAGATTATTTTTTCCCTACTGCGATTTTATCAATAAAATGTCAGCTTGCACAATAAATTACACAAAGCAAGAAGCATTTCTGCTGACAGGCAAGATTGCGCGTCTGTTAAAAAAAAATCTCAACACAGGCTGCTTTTTTAATGATTTTTCCAGAATACACACAGACGTAATAATCGAATTGCATACACGCTTTTTGTGTCCAGCTATTTTCCTGTAGTGGCTTTAATTGAAGAAAGAAATGGAAAACTAGGTGTGAATTTTTCCTAATTCTTTTTTCACTCCCTCCCATATCCGATGGAAGGAGTTATTTATCCTTGTGGGTCTATTAACCACTTTGCCAGATGTGATGTGGCCCTTTCTTCCTTTCAGGTCCTGAGCGCAGCATGGGAGTGGACACTGCGCAGAATCACTTGCCCTGAAACCCAGACTAACAAACACAGAGTTTTTTTTTTCTCTGTGCATCTCTTCTTATGAAAACAAATGTAAAACACAAAGATTTAAACACTTTTTTATGTGTTAAGGGATTATTTTTTTTCAAAAAGAGAATAAACAGGAAATACCTGCAGGTGTGCCCTAAGTCTCTTCTACAGCACAGCTGTATGCCAACCGGAGTCATGTGAGAGCCACCCATGCCACCCAGAGCCATGTGGTATTCATGTCACTCACTTACCCAGAAGACCCTGCACTTTTGCATACACCAAGGAGGGGTCTCTTCTCAGCAAAACTGTCTGCTTTCAGAGGACCTGTGAGTGGGACATACAAAGGCAAATTAAAAACTGGTCAAAACAAAGGAGTACATTCATTAACAACATGTATGTGGAGTCTCTGTCTGCCAGAGTCACCCACCCACATCTTTTTAATAAGCTTCTCTCACAGCAGGAAGTGTGTTGATTACATTACAACAGTTGCTCTGTAATCAAATTATGGTCTAACATTTTCCAAGAAAATAAAATAAAAATAAAACAGGACCTTCTTTCCTGTCAACTTATAGACTCATCTTCTTTGACCACAGAATAGTGCTTGGTTCGCATAAAACTTACAAGGATCAAATGAAATTAAAATACCAACATGCAAGGGCATCTTGAAAAGACAGAAAACAGAAACGGCACTCTGTTCAAATGTGTTGAGCTGAAACAAATTTTAAAAAGGGCAAAAAAAACCTTCAAAGCTCAGAAGAGCCTTTTGTCTGATTCTGTGTTTGATTTTTTGGGTTTTCAAAAATTACTACATAGTAAAAGGCCAGTAGGCATATTTTTAAAAAAAAATTGCAGTAAGTTTACAGATCCCATATTTCTTAAATTGTTCAATTTGAAAAAGGGGGAAAAATTCAAATCTCATCCAGATTTTAATGATCTATAATAATGGTGACCATACTAACCTATGTAAAGCAGTAATTTAGGCAGCAAAGTATGCAGCAAGGCTATGAGAGTAATCAGCTTCAGGAACACAGGATTCTTGTGGTGTATCGTGTGAGCACATGCACTATTTCCAAAACTTAACACTTCAAATGGGTTGCTCTGTTCTTAAAAATGTTGTCTTCCAACATTACAGCTAGTCACGATATTAAATCATGAACTAAATAAGATGTCTCACAGAGGAAACAGCTGACTTTTTATTTAGGTCCATCTTCTGAAAAGGCCACTGGGTCATTCACAAGCTTATTTATTCCCCTCACGTCTTTTAGAAAGACTACTGTCTTATTGATAAGCATATCAAAGAGATCTGAAAGTTTTGATAAGAGCCAGGAAAATTAAATATTTAATTCTGCATTTCTGAAATACAACAGGCCCTCTGGGACTTGTTTAAAAACTTTATTAGCAATCAATTTTACTCAGATGTGTGTAGACACTGGGACGGCTGATGCTATCTTGTTATCTAGCTACCTCTGATAATATGCCTCTCTAAAAATGGAACAGATGCAGCTTTCCAGCAAGGTCAAGAAGCAGTGTGTCTCTATCTTACAGGCTCCTGCGCTCTTCAAAATACTTAGACACTGTCTGTGCATAGCAAAATTGGTGCGTCTCTCGTATAGGAAAAATATTTCCTATTAAGTTATCTATGCTTTAACTTCAAAGGAACATATTCATATGTATGTATATATGACCGTATGAAACTGCTTTATTGATGTCATAAATGAAAGAAGAGCAGATGTGGACAGAGTTGTGGATTGAGAATCACAAGAATGCTTTTAACAAGAGGCTTTCAAAAAGCTGCTTTGCCAATTAATTTAAATTGCACAGTGGCTCAGAAACCTAAGGCAACTCTGTATTTAATTTAAAAGATTCATTAAAAAATGGTCTTTACTCAAACATTTTATACATTAAAAACAATGCCTTTTCACTTCAGACTGTCAGTGATCTGCTTCAGATATTCTATGTACTTCTTAACTTTTCACCTGTAAGAAGACTGCCTGGATCAACAGCCTCCATCATCTTCTCATGAATTATTTCACAGATTTCAAACTGAACTCCAGTAACTAGAAGGTATAATGAACCAAGACCTCCAATTGTAATAAAAATCCCTTGTTTTGTGTTAGTCTATATAAAACAACAAAATCTTCTCAGCAAATACAGAGTTGTTACTGTCTTTTTAATATCATGTTTTTTTTATAATTGGATTAATTTGCTAATCAGTATTATCAAAAATATATACATAAAATAAGGAGTCCGGATCTACAATTAGACCACTGGATCCCAACAAAGAGACTGTTCTGGAAAACTTGCAAATTTCCTCCTTAAAGTTTGGAAAAGACTTTTCTTATTACAATCGACACCTATTTTCAGGACTTTCCAAAATCCACCCACCCAGACTCCCACATTTAACAATCACCCCTTTTAAAACTCACTACAGTGCAACACTGTTTGCACTTTACTGATTACAATCAGTTTCCCCATTTGTACAATTCACATTATTTTGCACAGAATCATTCTCCTCATGTGTTGAATATCTGCTGCTTCTTATTACAGCCTTTCTGCTTTTATCCAATTCCAGATATTGTGAATGCTGTCATTGTGCATTGTTAAAATCTGCCAAAAGACCGGAACAAATATAGAGAGAACAAAAACGATTTTTCTCGCCGAAATGTCACAGCGTGCTTGCGCAGATTCCATTCAGAAAATATACCTGCAGCGACAGCAATTTCAGATTCTGCTATTGGACCTGCTAATCGGCGGAAAAAAAAAGACCGAAGGCTGGTTATGTTCAAAAAGCATAACCGCTTGCGTTGTCATATTAAAAACAGCTGTAAATGACATGTTCTAGGGATTGCCTTGAGCTGAATTATTTGATTTCAATCCTGTTGTACTTAACTTGGATTCACTCCACCATCCAAAACTTACCAAATTGCACAAGGAGAAATGTGAAAGTGTCGCCTAAATTCAGGTGGAGATTTAACCACAGCTTGCTTATTTATTTTTCAAAATTTGTGTTATCTGTGACAATGATCACCACGCCGTATTTCTTCCCAGAGAGGCTGTTTTTTCCCTTATTTTAATAAATGTAATTACCACAAGTCATACACTAGCCAATAAGCAAGTTGTGATGAAAGAAAGGGGAAAATCTGTGTTTTTTTACCAGAACTCTGGCATAGAAGAGTTCCTCACTTCTGAAGCAGCCAGTTGACAGAAAGCCAACACTAATCTTATAGGACTGACTTCAATATTAGGATCGGAACACAGTGGGGCTCTGGCAAGGGCTCTGTTCTATTAAGAAACACGGGGCAGCCTTTAATTTAAACATGATATATTGAAGAAAAAAACTAGCCCAAAACAAAATAAATCATGCCATATTTAACTTAATTTTAAAAGCTGTCCCTGTACACTGAAAACAGATTTGAGGCAAGGCAATTTTCTTTTTGCAGCAAGGGGTTCATTTGTTGTACTGAAACACTTTCCTAAAATAAAATCAATCAAGGGATTATTAATTAATCTGACAGATGCTGCAAGACTCACGAAACACTTAATTAAATGTTTAAATTAAAGTTTTTTTTATTAGTTTTTAGATGTGCTTTAATTTTAAAATAATAACAAACAAAAAAAAAACGCCCAACACAAATCTATGTGTGGTCAAGACCAGGCTGGAGAATGTGGCTCAGGGAGCTGAATCCTGTCACTGAGAGAAGCTCTCTGGGAGGGCTTAACTACAGCTACAAGGGGACAGTAGAGGGAAGACAGGAGCTTCCTTTTATAAGGCCATGTGTAACAGCTCTAAAGGAATGCATGGATATTTTCTTTCAGGATATTTCAGAGGCATAAAAAAGGATTCACAATAATCAAATGACAGCGCGAAAGCAAGACCAAACATAGAAAAATAGCACCTTTTATGCAAAATTAAATGGTAAAAAAACAAAACAATTTGCTGTTGCTGTGCCTTGATTTTTTCCTTTTGCTGAAGAAATCATCTCCAGACACGCCACAGAAGCGTAGAGCGGGTGAGCTCATAGAGGTTTCCAAAAGCAGGTCACTGAAACAAACCCTTTGCCGACCTGCGCTCCCCAGGCCTTCTCTTGCTCACACCCACCCTCTCCTGCTGTGTTTGTGGCCTGGGTCAGCCAGGCCCTGCGACTGCGGCTGCAGTGGGGACAAGGGCGCCTCGCCTGTACTTACTGACATGGGGAGCAGGCAGGAGCCTGGCAGCTCGCACTGGACCATTCCGCACCGAAAACAGCTCCTGCGCTTCGCCGCTGATCTGGAAGAAAGCAAATAACAAAAACGGTTAAATAGAATATTACCGTTGGAGGGGAGAGGACCTAACACCGTAGGAAAGAGGAGTGGCTTCTTTAACTTTACATACAGTACACTGATGCTGATGAAAAGGGTTGGAATAATTTTCCTTCTGGGATGTAAAGCAGGAGACAAGAACTAGACCCCTGAGTCAGGAGATGCCCTTTATTTTGAACGGACAAAAAAAAAACAGACAGCCAGTCCCTGAGTATTTAGGCCACCCATTCTTGCCCTTCCTATCCAATACTGGGCAGTACAATGCTTCAGTACGCACAGTGCTTAAAAGAAGCTATTACAGCTCAATCAGATCAATCACAGCTGCTGGCTATGTCAAAACTATGCTCTGAATTGTACTTGGGGGGCACAGCTCAGACTTCCACACAGAGATCCAAATGTGTCAGAAGCATGCAAGAGTATTGTTAATGTCTTCTCATTATTTTTACGAAACAGTAACTGGGACATTTAAAAAGATGTACTCTTCACACAGAAGCTTTCTTTATATTACTGTATGAGCAATATGTGAGCCCAAAATCTGTCTGAAAGAAAACCAACATAGCGGATTACGTCATCAAAGATTTCATGCCGTCATCAGAGGATTAAAGCCCGTGCCACTTTCGTACCATATATTTTGAACTGGAATGCATTTACATTTCAGCATCTAGTGTGCAGGCCAGGAATGTAAACTCACATTCCCTATTTTGAAAAAACTGCAAATAAAACATTACGGGACAGTTCTGCCCATTTCTGGTGGCATCCAAAAAAGAAGGCTCTTCAGGAACTACAGTATCCTAAGGATCACACCAGCCAATCGGATTCCCAGTTTCACAGTCATTATCCAATCAGTGGGAGTTCTTAAGCTTGCTAAAGCCTCCGTTCTTGGAACTCTTACTATGTAGGCAGATTAGTGCTAAGGACCTTAACGCGATCCACTACAGAAGGAGTACTATTAACTCTGAAAATCAACTTATATGTAAATCACAAGACTGTCCATTTAGACTCTCACTTTCTTAAATAAAGTGTGAAATACACCATGAAAGATTTTCCAAAAGAAGCATTACAGAAACATACAAAAACAGTATTAGTGAGGGAATCAAATGAACATTTGTTCAGTCTTGAACAGTTGCGATTATTTTAAAGAACTTAAATAATTATAAAGAAAGCATTTAACCAGTATGAACAAACTCTGCATTAAAACTGACCACGCTTTGTACGGTTTGTAAACCCATAAGGGTTGTCTGTGAAACAAGCATACCAGCTATGCTGTGGAAGCTGATACACTGGCTTTGTCTCAAGAAACAGCAGGATAAGATCCTTGGATCAATTATCTACTCACTACCAAATAAGCTAGATGGGCTGACTGTCCTTCTCTCGTTTGCGATCTTTATTATGTGCAGCTATTTTTGTATGATACATGTCCTGTTGTGTATTTTGTTTTAGTGTTTTGTTTTTACAAACAAAAAATGGTGCCGTTCAAAGAGATTAACTGCAATGTAAATATCAATAACAGCGTTTAAGGAAAAAAAAAGGCATTTTACATACTCAAAAGGCACTGATAGAGTCAACTCGGCAGATTACATCAGAATAATCGGTAAAACACAAACCAAAGGACACAACTGGAGGCATATTTATAACTATGAAGAGGAAATACGTGGAAGTACACATACCCGTACATATACCAGGAAGCACATTTATAACTATAAACAGGAGGCATGTATTTACCCAAAGTGTTGTGGGAGCATGGAACAAGCTGCCAAGCCCTGCAGTTGAAGCCAATATCCTGTTTTTTTTTTCAAGAAAGAGCTAGAAAAGAACTTTGGATCACTTAGCAATTAACCACCAAATGGTCTATATGGGCCAAATGGTAACATTTCTCGTGTTCTTATGTTCAAAGAGGGTATTTCAGTACAGTAAGGGCAAGAGTTCCTGAAAGATAATGAAATCTGTATTTTCTTGGTAATACATTAAACATATATTTAATTAGTCACAGAACTCATGAACAGAGCATGATGCCTGCTGCATCTCACTGATTTGTTTTTTCCAAAATTCCCAGGGATACAGTTTTGCACAGAATCTGCAATGTACAGCCGTAAATGGTTAATGAGTTTTAAAATCAGTTTCTTAGTTTTGATAATAAGATTCATGCTTAGTGTGTTATCCATAGATTAGTCATCTCTTAATAAGTAACTCCCTTAATCAATATAGACATTCTTGCAATTATCCTTTCTGGTAGTCCAAAAAGTGGTCCTAATGCAATCATATAATTATGAATTTTGCCCGCCCCACTTTCTACATTTAAAAGGAAAAAGCTGGACGAAGAAGTCAAAGACAATGTGGAGAAGAACAAAGAGAGATCTGTTCACACTGTAGGAAAAATAATCTTTTCCAACTGCAGAAAATGGGCTTCACATGCTTAAAAAAAAACTGTAAACCAAACCACAAAATAAAAAAGCTACCAAGGAATAAATGCATCCAGAGTATTACAATGCAAATGATGACTGCTTTCTGAACAGCGATCAAAAACATGTATTGGCCATAGCACTGCATCACTGCAGAAATCATAATAATTATGAGTCGGTCGTCTTTGCAAACCACTATATTTTTAATATTTTAACAGTGTGATACTGACTTGTTTGCTGCCACAGGTACACGTGACAATTTTTTTAAAGCATTGGGATTATGTTCATCACTCACAATGCCCAGTCACTCTGGATATATCTTAAATATATACCCATGTTTTAAAGGCCCTTTAATAAATCAGTTTTTGTTTTGAGAGCAATCGTATTCATTATTGTTTCTAAATTACAGTGAATGTGCATTATCACAGTGCAGTAGATAATCCACGTGTTTTAAGAAGATAAGAACATCCGAGGATAATCGCTCTTTTAGACAATTAGCAACCTCTTCAAAGTGATGGATTAAAACAATGTTTTTATTAAAAGTGGTCAGTACAGATTTTATTGCCATAGTATAAGAGATTAACAGTATAAAAATAAACACTTTATAGAGATCCCACACTTGTATAAAGAAACACCAGCCATTAAAATTAACCTAGAAATAATGTCATTTGTTGGTCTCCATGGTTTAAATTAATGCCACTGTCATTATGTATTATAGCAGTTTATCCTCACTATGACAAAGATCTGTGACATCCTCAAAGAACATTTTCAACATTCAATTACGGTAAAAAAAGCAATATAGAAAATTGTTTTTTGTTGTTGCTTTCACTTGTTTTAATGCTTTTTTATTCTAAAACAGCTGACATTGGTCTTATAATACTGCTTAATAAAATGGATGAGTAATTGAGCAGCACTCTCACTAAATGATACATAGCTGCCTTTGGATTACACTGAAGTAAAAAATGTTAATGACGATAAAAAGCACAATTTTCAAAGATCTCAGGCAAACCACAACACAACACAGATATAATGGCATTACACCAACATCAGCCAGAACAGGAGAGCTGTGCAAAAATTAAATTAGCTGTTTAACCTTTTCAATCTTTTTTTTTTCCTCAGGATCAGTGGCTGTGTTTCTGTAATCATTATCTTGTCTCCGATACAGAAATGAAAAAAGGCACAAACTATTCAATTTCAACACAAATAATAAACAACACTGATAATAATTATAATGTTTCCACCAAGGTACATGCAATAACTCAAACAATTCCACTAAAAAAGGCGGAGCTGGCTCAGAAAAACATTGTTGGCAATACTCACTTGAGTGTGGATAGATTCTCCAATTCAGAGAACTAGAGTGTTCAGTTTTAAAAGTATTGTTACTTTTTAGGAGCTTTTCAGCTGCAGAGCAATGCCATGTCTGCACTTTACAAACTGCAACGTGTTGGCACACAAGGGAATCTTAAAACAAGATGAATCATGACAACCAGTAATGAACCAGATATAGCACAACCGGCACTCGCTTGTTTTACAACTCAACCCCGGCTATCTTTTCTGTGCTCCGAAAAACAGGTTCGTTATTAAAAGACATAATTTCTGCCAGTTTCTTCAGCCCCAATGCAACCTCTAAAAAAAGTGTATTATATAGTTATATTATATCTGCACGCCCACGACCCAGAATTGCAAGAAGCAGTCAGATAATGGATGGATGGATTATATGCACATGGATCTGTAAGTACATAACTCCTATTCCTGCTGCCCTGTAATGATGCGGAGTCTGTCAGCAAGCCTTGACAACACAGTTCCCAGTGAAAAGAAGGCACTGAGTAAGATTATAAAACTCAGGCTGAATAGAGGTGTTAGATCTTCCGCTGTTTTTAAGAGACAGCACTTAAGAGCTCACTAGCTCCTCAGACTAAATAGGAACCTTTCTGATTCATACTTGTCACGGGTTCTGCTTTCACAAATAGAAAACGATTCAGCTAAATTAATTTATTGAAAATAGCTGTCCTGCCCTTTTTTAATTAATGGAAGGAAAGCCTGAGGAAAGATTTATTCAATCTTAATACAGATGAAGATTAAAAACCTGTACGATACGTGGCCCAGTGTTACTCTTGCTTCAGATTGGCTTTAATAATAACAAGACCATTACTGACACCTCACTTCAAAGCATGTCTTTCCCACCAACACCTTGTGCTTCCAACACCATTTCAATTAGCCTCAACTAATCCAACTCCTCTCTTCGATTCGAGAGCAACACCTCTCCAGTCAAAGATCTTTCTCCAAGGAGATGTTAATGCACAGACACTCAGAGTAAATAGAACCACACACCCTGGCAGCCAGAGGTGGAAGTGCTTCTTAGTCGATGCAACGCCATTACGGAGGGTGTCAGCTTAGCAACTGTCATGAACACTTCACAATCACTCATGCCCAGAAATCTTGCTGCTTTCATCACGTACTTATACCAAGTGAAAAATGGGCCCCAACTCCACCCGAGAAACAAACCCACAAAAAAAGTACAAGCTCAACAACCTAATAATGGCGGCAGGCACCACTCTATTTCACCCAAAGAAAAGAGAAGAGCACATGTCTAAACACATGCCACACAACAGTAAACAATTTGACCAATGACTTAGTTTGTTAGTTTTGGGAAACTATACAATTTCTCTTGTAAACAGCAGATGTTGGTAAAGGAATACTCAAGGATTTATTTTAAATTCTTTCAAACTCTGAAAGGACTTCTCACTGTTAAAGTATTGCTGGTTTGACAGTTATTGGTAACATGAATTAATCTAAACCAGATTTGATTCCTAACTTTATTACAATATGCATATCTGTAACAACAAAACAGAAAGTGTAAAATTTTATAATATCCCCATCCAAAATCTAAACAAGTGTTTTTATTAGCCACAGATTCATAAATGGATCCTAAGACCTTTCACACTATTGTCACAAAGACAAAACAAACAGTGTTTCCCTTTCTGTATCGCAGCTAGAACAGATTGCACAGGCTGGCAGTGGCTGGCCTCCCTGTCTCTCAACATATCGTCACATGGCTCTTTGACAGCACCGGACTCGCATACGAAATCCCCCGACAGCCAGGGACAGAGGGCACAAACAACTGCACTCTCCCAGGAATTAGACTCCGACAGAGGCAGCAAAGCAGAGTCACAAGAGGATATGGCTCTGACCTTTCCGTGTTACAGTAATGGGCAGAGACGTGACCCACTATCAATAATAATCTCACGCCTGTCCTGCTTCAGCGGGGCTGGCGCCCTCAGTGACCGACAGCACTCTTTACCCCGGCTGGGGTTCCGAACAGAGCGATTAGTTTATGCTGCAGCAGGAAGCAGCAATCCCCGAATGGACATGTTTCATTTTCATGTCCACATCCATGCTTCATTTTGCATCTCCCCCGTCGATCTTATTTAAAATGACAAACGCAAGCATGCACAGATCTTAGAATTTATATGGTTGTTTAACTTAAATCGTCACGCTAAGACAGCAAAAAATGCAACCAATAAATGTACAGTACTTAACTGCCTTATTCTTATTCTTTCTTAAAGAAAAGAAAATACAATGAAGACTAAAATAGTGACAGATCTGCATAATCCAACAGACACTCACTTGGTTCTGTAATTTCCTATAAATCCTCTAAAATTGTGGTAGTGCAAGTGTTTTCTATTCACACTTGCAATCATCTCTTCAAGCTGCTAATCAGCCAAATATTACCACTGACTTACATATTGTGACCATTTTCATGGCAGTTCACCTAAAAAACAGGCTGCAACCTTGAAATGAAAGTTAAATTTGCTACCTCTCCTTCAGAGTGCTGCTTGAGTTTAAAACTCTGCCTCCCAAATGCTTGACTGCTGTGACATCTAGTGTTTACTAATAGCAGTGCAGCTCGGAGAAATGAATGCAGGAAGGCGAAAGCTTGTATCAGAATCCTACTTCTGCTCTTCAGTAAAGTTTCAGTCATTAGTATATGACAGAACCTTTTATTTTTCAACACATTTTTTAAGCGGTCTGAAGTCCACCTAAGATATTCATAATACAAGTGACCTTTTATTATCTAAGAAGAAATTGTATTTTTCTGTCAACACTTGATCATAGCTACAAAACAAATGTTCTTTTTGACTTCTGAATCTGAATCAACTTGGCCAAAACGTAAGCTTAATCTAAATTAGAATCTCTCCTTGTGTTCTCAATTAAAACACAGGTCACAGCCCAGTTGTATCTGTCCCACAGCTTTGTCTTTCAGTACTTGTCCCTTACTTTTCCTAAATCTGGCTTTAATTTTCCCAAATTCAATGTTTTGTTTCCTTTCAGCACTTTAGTACGGATAATGGCTCTGTACCTTGAAAGCACATAATATATCAGATAGCAAACTATAACTTTATTCAGCACTTCTTTTTTCAAGTAAGCGTCCAGTTTAGCACTCGTCTCTCACCGAAACACTCCAGATCTGCATCCCATCTGCATATCCGATCAGCAGCAGCAGGGGAGGATCAGTGCCGGTTCCATGCAATTCCAGAAACTCGGGTGTCCTGGCAATATCTGTCCAGACAGCAAATATATTAAGACCACAATTAAGATGTGAAATGTATACTGAGCATCAAAAGAAACATATCAGTTATAAAGTTATTATCAGAAAAACAACAATCTTTTTTTTCAATTAACAGACACGCCACAGGCAATTTCATTCTGTTTATTCACGTCTGTCACCAACGGCGCTGATAAATAAGGGGTCTACTCTGAAAGTTAGAGGCTAGCAGTGTGTGTGGCCACTGGAGGCAATATAAGATGGATATCTGTAACACACGGCTGGCACCAGGGTGCAGTTAGTGTCTTGTGGGATTCAGATCCATTCCTTTGGTAGAGCCCGGACAAGCAAGCGCTTGTTTACTCGTCTCTGAGCCCAAGCTGGCACACATGACTCCAGATCATCCCGCAAATGTGAACATGCTCAAGTAAGTCCTCCATCCATTTTTTAGCCACCTTATCCAATACAGGGTTGCAGGGGAGCCGGAACATATCTCGGCCAGCAACAGGCAAAAGCCAGGGATTCACCCTGGATGGGACAGCGGTCCATCACAGAACAGACACAGACATGAACATGAACATACATGCTCACACCATGAACATGAGGCCAATTTTCCCAGAAGCCATTCAACCTACCAGTATATCTCGGGACTGTGGGGGGAAAGTGGAAACTGAAAACTCCATGTAGATAGCACCCCAGAAATTGAACCCAGGGCCACAGCGCTGCAAGGCGGTTATACTAACCACTGTGCCACTGTGACAACCATAAGTCATCAATAGGGAACTTTACCACATTTTCAACTTGAAAGAAAACCATTTTTACACAAGCAACGTAAAAATGTGCATTGTCCTTCTGAGATGTCATGTGAATGTGTATATTGTTTTAGCAGAAAGATTAAAAAGTAAGTATTTGTAAATCTAATGAATAATAAACAAGTCAATTAGTAATTCAAATGTTCTCGAGAAATTTTACGCCTTTACCTTTACGTTATGGCAATAGAGTGCCTTTATTAAATATTTTAATACATCAGAAACAAAGCCAAACTATTTTTCACCCCTCTTATAAACTAAGAAAAATACAAGCAACACGTATCAATAAATAAAAGCTTCATTTTCTCCAGAATTAAAGTCCTCTAGGCCTTAATCATGTAAATAAAAATTGACATGTACAGTATATACCAATCGTGAATTTAAAGCTTTCGTTTCGCCACAACCCTCATACAAGGAAACACACCACTGAGTACTGATTTTAGGAACTGTTATATAGAAGGTGTTTTATAGATCTGATTTAACTGATGGAGTATAATTTAATCCTTCTGTTAGCTTCTACGCAAGTTACTGCCATGCTGAATGTTGTGTCGTACTTTATTTAATTGTACTTTGTATGAACTTTCCTCTTCTTACCATTGATATCTGCTTTTTCAAATCGGACCCAGACAATTTTCTCCTTCTCATCTGTGGGCGGTGCTCCTGTATAAGCCTGAAAGAAAGTAAAGGAAGCAGACAGGTGTGCGACAGTCAGGTAAGAAGAGACAGACACTGCCAAAGCAATGACATGTTTTTTAATAAAACCAGTGCAGACAAAGTTTAAGAGATATTTTCCTATATTGGGGTATTTCTAAAACCCCACATTGTTAACAGCCTGAGATAAAAAGACATCTTTAAAATAAAAAAAACTGTAAGACTATACAGCAACGCACTCCCTTACCTGTGGGACAACATCTTGCAGAAACGTCACTACACTCTCCATGTATGACTGCTCTCTGAAAAACAGCATCTGTTACATTAACAACGTGCACAGCAAAGCTCTGGTCTTTCGTCACCTAATTTGATCATTATTACCATGTTTTTATCAGCAACAAGAAAAGCTTAATTGTAGCCTTTCTGAATTCAGTCTATTGGCAATGGGAACCAGCTTTGCACCCAAAATAAGGAATCGGTCATTTTAGGAAATGATAATTGGAGCAGTGCATGCACATCTTCTCTACTGCTCGAAAAGCCCTAACAAAATACGGCAATACCACAACTGAGAGTGTGGTGCTACAGCAAAATATGTTTGTCTCATCTGTAATCACAGAAAGTCACTGGCATTTGCACAGCTGATTCAACAGGCTCACCATAAAGGATCGTTGGAAAATCTAGAATTACATTATAAAGTACTTTATTATATGGGATATAATTTTACTTGAAAAAGATACTCCAAGGCTCTGTGAGAGAGTGGACAATTTTCCTGTGCCGTCAAATGCTCTGTAGAACAGACCTAAACTTAGGTACACAGTGAGTAACAAGAAAGGCGAAATTCAAGCCTGCTGGGGCGAACAGGCTGATAAGTGAATTAAAGGCCTCATTACTGATAAATTCCCCTCCACCCAAGAAGAAATATTACAATTAACAATTAACATTACATCTCAGTTTCTTCATTTACTCTGACATATTACAAGGTCATGCCAAAGTAGCAACTTGTGCCTCAGTTACGCACTCTGCCGAAACACAGCACAGATCCCATAAACTGGCACATTTTGAGACAATCGTTTAAGACAGAGCAAAGGAATGTGAAACAAACAAGATAGTGTATCTGAACAAACGAGGGCTCAGCCCCCGTCTGCTCCTGTTTTATCCGGGGAGGTGAAGAAACGCTCTTGTCTTACGTGGCCGCCTGCGCCCGCACCACCGCTCCTCCAGCGCAGCGGCTGGGACGGCGCGGGGAGTCGGACGCCATCGTGTCTCCAGATCTCTTTGACCTGCCAAAGGAAAGCGGCAGCGGATCACTTCCTTTATCCTCGTGCACAGTTTACTGCGACAGTCCAACCCCTGCAGCCTCTCCCCAGCCAGCAGACAGAATGACAAGCCCCTGATGAAGCCTAACTTTGACGTGTGCATGAACGCGTCAGGCCCGCCTGAAACCAGCCAAATATTTACAAACCACTTAAATACCGGGCTGAGGAGGAGCTGGAGCCTATCCTGGCAAATAACAAGCCCAAGGCAGGATACATCCGGGACGGGAAGCCAGTCCATAGAGGACCACGTTTTCCCGGAAGCAAACTAACCTGCCAGTGTGTCTTTGGAGTGTGGGAGAATATCAGAGCACCAGGAGGAAACATGTAACCAGGGGAGAACATACAAACTCCACACAGATAGGCACCCCGGGTCTGGATATGACCCCAGAGCCCCAGAGCTACAAAGAAGCAATGCTAATCACTGCGCCACCATGCCAGCCTTGGGAACGAACATCACTATACCAGTCTCAAAAACTATTAATCTGTATGAAAGGTCTGGCACCACTAACAGTTTTAATTAAAGATGCACTGTATTGGCCGTTTCTTTCCCCTACATCTGCACCGAATTTTCCGCAACATCCGTTTTACATTTTCTTTGTACCGCCTGCAGCTGCGAGCTGTAAAAGACCTTCTATCTTTACATGGCAGCCGATAGCTACCATGATACTTGAGGTTAACACACAAACACGTTGGGTAGCACAGTGGTCAGGCACCTCATGCTGCAGCTTCTTCACTGCTCTCAGGTGCTGGCTTCAATTCCAGACTCTGCTGCGTTCTCTGTCGAGTCTGCTTGCTTTCTGTCCTGGTATTCTGGTTATGTTCCCAGCCTTCAAAGACACGCAGGCTAGGTTAGACTCCCTGAACTGTCCCATGTGCTTGAGAGTGTGTCCCCCACAATGAACTGGTGTCCATGTGGTCGCTGTGACCCTCGGAATAAGTAAGGGATAAACTGAAAATGAACTGGAACAAGATGATAAAGACACGCACTAAATTCTCTAGATTTTACAGGCTTTGTGTACCTTTCAGGGGATTCTCAGAAGGCGATTATATTTTACTAGAAGCTTCCACTGTCTCATCCAGAAAAAATGAAATATGGAAGTTTCTTTTTTGCTTCCAGGAGGCTCACAGAAGACCACAGGAACCGGGAATCGCCGTGTCATCGCACAAGAAGCATATCAAACCTTTTTAAGCTTTCAAGACATTTTGGCTAAAATACACAGCCTACTATTCAGATTTCCTGAGGAAAAGTTGGGGTGCATTTTAACCAAGGACTGCACAACACCAGTTTTCCTACAAGTCACTTCAATTTCGAAATGTCCTGAACAGAAAGGTCGCTTCAATAGTTTTATAACCGCGGGAAAAGGGATTTAAAGACGAGGTCACGTCCCGTCCGGAGTGTGCGGGAAACGTTACGCTTGCGTCTCATGACCCTTCTCACAACATCTGTGAATGACCATGGCGTAGAAATATATCTTCCTTTTAAACATTTTAGCCTGTTGTCAACATTGCAGATCACTTTCTAAGAAGACATAAGTGGTAAACGGCGATAAGGGATGACACTGGCGGAGGGGAGGGAGAGGGGGGTACGTGGCGTCACCTCACTAAATCAATATATGTATTTCAAACTATAAAAAGCTGAAAAAAACGTCTAATGTCGTGAGGAAATAAAGAATGCAAAATCATTTGTTTCATTCCTCGGCAAAAGAGCTGTGTCAGTGTTTATTTCCTTATGGTTATTCCACTACGTGTATAAATTTCAGTCACGGGTCTCAAGAAAACAATAAGAACGAAATAAGTCAGGCGGGTAGGATATACACCACGGAGTCCTCACACCTACAAAAACAAGTATCCCACACAGCAAAACCACCGAGTTCAGACATACCCCCGGTGGAAACAAGACACATTTCCGTTAACGGTTACATTCATTTTTTCCCGTTACAGCACTTAGAAAATGTGTATTTTCATACGAACCCCGTTACGCTCTGTTTCTAGTCTCCTCGGCTGACGCTTTTTAACCCGCACCACAACACAGCAACACGGGCAGCCAACGGAACTGCCCGGCCAGCCAATCACTGCGAGGCTCTTTTCCGCTCTGCCCTATAGGCGCCAGGGGGAGGCGGGGGCCAAGCCTGCGTGAGCCAATAGGGAGGAGGGCCGAGAGCCTATCGGGTTCGGGTTACCCGGCGGTGTTCCGGGCCTGCGTGAAGGCAGACGCCACAGTCGGGTGGAAAACGACCGAGTGCGAGCTCGTGTGAACGAGTCCTGACGGGCCGGCGGAGGCGGTCGAAATGACAAAACTAGGGTTTTGAATTGTGTCTGCCCGCGCGAACCGTTCTAAGAGGGTTTGTTTGGAGTTTTTTCTCGCGGACCGGTTACCCAGAGGTGTATTTACAGACCCCCCCCCCCCCCCCCTCCGCCTTGTTTGTTTACATTGAAGTCTCGCGAGAGGCCGGTGTGCACGTGTTAGCTGCTGGGGCGCTAAACCCCCGCTCAGCTGTTTCCGCCCGCACGGGTCCAGATGGGCTTGGGACCCGTTTGAATACGGATATCTTTCTAATGTCAGTTTTAGCAGTACAGGTGCATATGCTCTAGGGTCGGAGACGCTGTACGCTGGTGCATTTGCAGTGGTCCTTTAAATAGTTTTTGCTCGAATTTTGTCGCGATTGCACTGTTTCCATCTGGGCTAGGTTGAGCATATGATTTAAGGTGCATGTCAGCAACACGCCTTTGCGGTGATGAAAATTAAGTAATCAGTGTATATTTCCCGTGGGAAATAAACATGTAACAATAGTTGCCTATACGGTGTTCCTGACAGCATTCAGATCCTTTAAACGGTTTTACTGATGTGCCCAAGAGCGTTTTGGGGTGGGACGTCTGTTCATTGCACCGATAAAGCACTGATGTTCGCCTCAGCCCTGACGCCAATCTGAAACTACAAATTCACCGCTGTAAGAGCGGTTTTAACATTCCGTCCTTTCTAAAGAAGACGGATTCACGTGCTGATCTAGTCACGGTAACCCTGGCTTTTTCAATCTTCTGCCTTAAAACATTGTGAGCAGAGCCTGCTGCGTATATACTGTACTACGTAATTGGTCAAGTTTCGCGTGTGCCACTAGGGGTCTTAGAGATTAAAATATTAGCAGTTTTTATTGCAGAGAACAGAAAAGCCAGAACACCAACACTCACACCAGGGTTACAAATCGCGGAGCTTAAAAAATAAAAACCGCATTGTCTCCTTATCTCAATCAATGCAGGAACCATCTCGTCTTTCTACGGCCCCCTACCGCCAGGCCTCATAATTACATCTCCGTCACGAGCGATCCCACAGGGGCCCCGACGTCACAAAGGGTGAAACGAGGGAGAGGTGAAACCACAAGCAGAAGCAATAAGGATTTAAAGTTTCCATGCTTTATTTATCAAAAGATGCACACATGGCAAGTTTGGTTTTCCAAAACATTGAGCCATTGAAACAAAACAAAAAGACATCTGTAAAACTCATTGGATTAGCACTTAATCCTTCAACATCTGCAGGTCTAACTTTAATTTCTAAACACCACGAGTCATCCAAGAATTATTCACCAGTCTCACATTTACCACTTCATGTGAAAAAATGAAGAAAAAAAAACAGTAAAAAAATCTGAAAATTTTTCAACTGTAAAGGACTCTTAAATTACTAGAAATGCAATGTGTTGTGTACAGATTTTAAAAACCGCGTGCGGCAGTTTAATAGGAATGTGATCCCTGGCATTTTCTCAGAACTTCGTGTTCTCTTGGTGCAACATGTCCTGCACCACCGAGCCTGGAACAGCAACGCTTAACAGCTGGATCTCTTCCTGCGTGTGACGAACGCCTCCGAGGCGAGGCTAAGATTTCTCTTTCCACAAAGCTCATCACAAAATGCCCTGGAGCAGAGCCGTGTACTCCAGTCCATCAGCCCATGTCTGTTCTGTGCTACACTCCAGCCTTGAGATCAACTGTACTTCTATAAGGAAAGGTTCCAGAGTCTTTGTCCCCCAAAGCCCGACTCTGGAAATGGGAGTGCTGATGGCCAAGGGACTCACCCAGAACACACTACACCATCTCATCGTCTTGTACAGCTCTGTCCACACAGCACAGATCAGTGCAATTAACAGACTGGGGTGATGAATGAAGTAACACCATCTGTAAGGAAGAACAGTGGTTGTACTAAATTAAATCAATGGTCTAGACTCCACCTCAGTTATTAAAATAGTCAAGTTCGCAGGTGATAAAATAGGATGAGAAAACACTGCCGAGGCTGCAAAGGAAATTCGTGACTGGGTAAATACCTGGCAGATTACACTTAATTTAATTACATTTAATGTAGACAGGTGTAGAATGTGATAGGTTGGCATCAAAAACTAAAAGTATAAGATGGGAAAAACTGAGCTTGAAGAAACTACCTATAAAAAGACTTCAGTGTTTATGTGAACATCTGTGTCTTTTAGGCAGTGTGCCTTGGGGAAGTAATAAAATGCAAACGATATAAGATATATAGTCAAAAACACAAAATTTAGTTTAAGGGATGTTATATTAAAATTGTACAATGCACTATTAAGACCATATTTAGAATAATGCGTTATGTTTTGGTCACCATAATACAAAACAGGTTTTGCTGCTCTGGAATCAGACCAGAGAGGAAGAATCAGATATAGACCAAGGATCAAAGGAATGTTCAACTTCGACCAGCTACAGAAAAATCTTATTTAGCAGCAAACAGAAGACTAAGGGACACAATACATGTATTCAAAATTCTCAAAGGCATCGACCAAATTAATTCATTGTATTTCTTCAGAATTAAAGATGAAGCACAAATCGGAGGGCACAAACTACATTGAAGTGCATTTCAAACAAAAGGTACAAGGAGCTTCATAACACAAAGAGTTGTGGGAGTCTGGAACAAGCTATGCTGTTGAAATCTAAACCTATCCTATCTTTAAAAAAACAATAGGATCAAAACAACTCGCTATAAAAAAAAAAACTAAACAACCTAGACGGTACGATTGCACTCCTCTTGTTTGCAGACTCCCTTATAAATGCTATATGTGGGTTAAATTACGAAAAGAAACCATAGCTTATCTGTTGGGGAGATAATATTTTGCACCCATTTCGGTCTCCCGAACTCTAATCCCAGCAATCCGTGTTGTGAATGGAAGCAGGAAACAGCTTCACTCTTTTGTTCCTGTTTTGTGGTGGAGGAACAGACCTTTGTCTTTGACCTTTGAGCAGAAAGCCGCTCATTCCTGGACGTCAGGATCACGGAGTGCCAGGATCTAGGCAGCATGTCTTAGGGAGGCGGGTGAAAGGGAACAGCAGCACTCGGAGAAAACACACGCTGGCACAGGGAACACGCAAGTTCTCCACAGAGGATCCCCCAAGCCAAAATCTGACCAGGGACCAAATACCAATGAGGCAACAGCGCAAACCACCACACTAGCACCTCCCCTTACGAAAGGGGCCCAGAATCAAGGCAAAGTCAACAAACATCTGGCAACAAATGGTACTTTTCCCCCCAAACACTCCTATCCAACAAGATGGAAGGGTTGTTTTTAATTTTTATCACAGAAAAGGATTTCGATGGCCAAGTAACTTTGCCCCCAAAAATTAATCGATACCTGCTATCAGAAATAATGAAATTCCACAGAATTAACAGCTACTTCAAAAGATTTTTCTTGTAGGTGTTATCAGGAGACAAGTCAATTCTACCCTTTTTTGTACCCATACTAGTCTCCGGGAGCTGACAACTCCTCAAACTTCAGATAACGTTCCTTGTTTTGTAAGCAACAATCAGTCTCACAAGTATCCACCAACAAACAAGATACTCAACAGAAATCCACACTTATTGATTAACCCAAATGTTAAAAACCACCAACCACCAAGCTTAATTATATCATTTTAAAAATCCATGAAGAATCATTCATTGTCAACCACAGCAGCTACTCAGTTTAAAAAGTTTACTGGGCTAGAGCAAGTGAAAAACAGACAATAAGAGTGTCCAGCGTCTCACTGCACCTCCCACAGCCCAGCCACCGGACCGGAGAAGAAGCACAGATCCACTTTTCCACACCATCATTTTGGAAAACAAAAGACTAAATTTACTCAAGTACCAGTTTAAAAAATGCATTAGCCTCTTTTAGAAGCCCAGATATTTAGAATTTTCATTTCCTACACAAAATAGGAAATTTACTTTTTCCACATGATCACTCAGAAAATAATCATTATTTTTTCTCTTTGGCCTGAAGAGTCTGAAATATGAATTTGCACCTGGCGACAGGCTGGAACAGGGTGAAACCGAGATGCCTCCATTCTAGAGTAAGATATGACCTCATAGATAGAACCAGAACTGTTACAGCTATATTTAAAGTCTATTTGCAAATGTACATCCATATACAAGAGTTCATCACATTTGCCAGAAAAAAAAATCTTTACAAGGCATTTTTCAAATAAAAATAACAGCACCATCTTTAAATCATAATGTTCATATGTTCAAAGTTGTCAGTTTTATTCAACCCAGAAGACATTTGTATTTATAATAATACCGTTAAAATTGATGGGTGCAAAACCTTCAATACTCAATAGCTGTAGGGACTGCATCATATAAAAATAGATTTATAATCTTATTGAATCAATTGAATAGATTCTTTTCTACATTAGGACTGAAACCAGAAAATAAAAAAAGCAAGACAAAGCAGGAATACTTGTTTCAGAATTTCATTTTAAACAAACATCGGTTGCACTGGACTGAACACACATCTGTTTCCTGGGTAATCAGCCAGGGGAGAACTATCAGAATTGGAGAAGAAGTCATCTGTCAAAGTGGTAGCTACAACTATAAATAGAAAGTTTGGATTCACTGCTTTTTGTTTCTACCAAGTGCCCTTTGCTCAATTGGAGTAGACAGAGATCACGCACAGAAAGACCCGAGGAAGGCTGCTTGTTAAAACCCCACGAAGCCATGTCCTGTCTCGTGGCAGGAAATGACAAAGTGATCTGGTGCGAGGGGGGTGGGGCTATGGAGAGCCATGCAAGGCCCAGCACAGCTGTGCAACAGCTGCAGACACAATGAAGGAGCAGAAGCACCTTCTGCACAACTGGGGCGGGAGTCCAGCCTCCCCCAGACAACTCTACCCCACCCCAGCTGGAGCGGCGCTAAACGACGGTAAGTGGATTCAAGGAGGCTTAACCCTACACACAAGGTTATTTGTGCAATCCTAAAACAAAGACTATATTTTCCATCTTGAATGCTTTACCCAGGAGCACATATTCTAAAAAGCTGGTCCCCTCTGCAGTGCAGAGACAATAGGACTCATTCTCATCTCAGTGCGTTAGTAACTGAATCGTTTTATTTAATCAGCTGGCAGAATTCCCAGGTCCCCCGAGTGACATGGACCTTTGAAATTCAAAGTCCCACGATTTTGTTTTTTTTTAAATCCAGTTCACTGCTCTAATCAACAGTCGAAAGAAATATCTTTTCAGCACTCTACCCTCAATAAAGGTCAGCAGTGCGCAGAAAACCCAACTGTTGCTATTGGCACAGGCACGTGTTTTACCGAAGACATGGGAGATGAGTCTGCACAGTCTGTGCAGGGGGACATGCCAGTATTCACACAGTGAACAGCCTCCCAGGAAACCGAGTACTCGAGCTCCCAGCAGGCCTCTGCAGCCCCCCAGGAAAGTAACCTTGAAAAAGCAGCTTGAGTGGAGAACAGGAGTTCCACTACAGGTTATTTTCAACTGCACAAAACAGCGTTCTCGGAGACACCTGGGAGGTCAGAGTACGCTGTACCTGCACACACGACACAGGGGTGAAAGTTCACTCTTAAGAACATAAGCTTCATCAATAATCACAACACATTTCATCACACCTTATGTAACTCCCCACTGGAAAATATAGCAGCACCATTGGTTTTAGGGTGAATCTTGATCTCACCCTGTGACGAAACAAAAAGAACATCATAGAATATATAAATATACACATTTTAAAACCAGGATGCATAAATTATCCACAACTGGGACACCATAGTGAATCAAGTGAAAACAAAGTTAACGATCACCTATTAAAATATTCACAAAAGAACAAAAAGTTAGAATGGTGTATCCTTCTGCGTTTTAAAATATTAAAATAGAAGACTGTATAAAAATATATATATACGGCTCCACTCAGTGCAGTAATCAAGCGAGCCCTATTTTATAAAGGCGGTTTTTCCTTGCGCATTATTTACAAGCAGATGAATCGATACATTGTCGCTTGCTTGTCGACTTTTTAAGGAACAGAGGTAAAACTCAAAAGGATACACCGCACGACAACCTTCTTGTAAGGAACACAAAGACAGACGTGAGCAGTTGAATATTTACCGTGATCTCAGATGTGAAAGATATTGGATCTCTCACCCCTTCCCCTGCACACATATGTATAACACCTCCTACAGGAAGCTGCATTTTAAATTTACAAAATCTTACACCGTAACAAAGGACGCGAGAACGGCTCCAAAACCCGCCTGCGTTTCCTGTCCACCCTGAGCGATGTCCGGCGGTGGCGCCTGCAGGGCAGAGTCGGGCAGGGCGGCGCGTCCCGTCTCCCCGAGAGTCTTGGCTGCCCCCTGGTGGCCGACGCTGCTCAGCACACGCACACGGCGGCCTTGCGGTGCTGCTGCAGGAGCGTGGGCACGCTCTGCGCCTGTTTCTGGCCCCGCAGGCTGCGGCGCATGGCCAGCCTCTCCGTGCTCCGGCGCTTGGCCGCGCTCGGCGACGGCGGGCTGTGGGTGGGGCGGGGCAGGCTGCGCCGCAGCTTCTTGCTGGCGGGGCCCGAGCCAGGGTCCTCGGGGGTCCGCTTGCAGCCAGGCGGTGGCGGCGGCGCCGGCGCCACGGGGGCCGGGCCGAGGTGGCCCTCGTCGGGCCTCGCGCTCAGGGCGAGGTCCAGGACCCGCGGGAGGTGGGGGGACGGCGGGGGCAGCCCACTGCTCCGGGACGCGGCCTCCGAGGAGACGGCCGCGGCGGCTTCGGACAGGCGGACGGACAGCGACTCGGACAGCGCGGCCAGCGTCATGGGGGCGAAGCCGTTCATCCTCTCCAGCGGGGGGAGCCGCTCGCAGTGGGGCGAGGGGGCCAGGGGCACCTCGGCGTCGGCGGTCTGGACAGAAAGGCAGAAACCGACATCAGGCCCAATCCCGCACGTCCGCGCCACGCCCTCCGGACCACCGCTCAGCCGAGAAGGAACTAAGCACTTCCTCAGGGCCAGACCTGAGACACGACAGGGCTCATCGGAAACCCTCTGTTCCTTCACTCCGCGCTTCAGCTACCAAACAGTTACTTACAAGGACAGCAGGGGTTTCTGTAGTTAAAGCTAAGGTTTAAGGTTGGGAAAAACTCAAGTTGCTGTAGGAAGAGGTGTTAATGGGCCAGTAGGCAGCGCTCACCCTAAGGTGTGACGGGGACACTATACTGTAACAAGGCGCTGTCCTTTGGATGAGACGTAAAACACCCAAAGCCTCTCTAAAAGAGTAGGGGTGTTACCCTGGCATCCGAGCCAAACTCCCCCCTGGCCTTTGCCAGTCATGGCCTCCTAATAATCCCCATCTGGTTTCATCACTCTGCTCTGCTCCCCACCGAGAGCTGGTGTATGTTGAGAGTACTGGCGCACTATGGCTGCCGTCACATCATCCAGTCAGGCAGGCCACCATCCATCACTGCTTAATGCCCTGCTGAAAACCAGCAGCTCCCCTGCTCTCCAGGTACAAGACTCTCCAGGCCTTCCTGACAAACTACTGCACATCACAGCCGCACAGCGCCAGTGCCGGCTCAGAAAGGTAAAGGCATGAGGTCCGTGCGAGCTCTTGTTGTCAGCGGGCTACCCAGCGATATCACTAGCTTCCCCCTCACACTTCTGTGAGGTTTTGAAGCTCCTCGACACAGGGCACCGAGAGACCGAGCACCAGCGACGCACCGCGGGCTGAAGAGGTGGGGCAGACGGAGGCCCCAGCCGAGCCACAGAGCCTCGCCGTCTCTGCGCTTCAAGTGGTCCTCGTCCTAATCTTTGTTTTTCCATTTTACTTTATCTGAACTGCTGCCATTCAAAGGGGAAGGAGATGGTGGTGGTGAATGTGTATACGTGTGTATGTGTGTGTGGGGGGGGGGGGATGGTGTCCATTAGGGCAGATCAAAGCTGAAATCACTGATCCACTTCACAGAAAATGGGCTGATTAAAACAAACACGTCCGCCCACTCTCCCTCTCATCTCCCCCAAAACCACCAGATAATAGGTGCCCCTTAAAAAGCCCCGCAGGGATGCAGGAGACGAGCTGAACAGCACGCATCACTCTTTTGAATGTCAAGATAAAGAGCCCTCCATCATTTCTTTTTGTGGCGGAAAAAAAAACAAACAACAATGATCGGCATAAGTGCACTGGTGCACATGCGCTCGTTTCATCGTGCGGGTGTACCGCCTGAGCACAAACAACGACGACAAAAAAAAAAAGGAATTCCACGCGGCGTGTTATAGGAAACAGATGGCTGAGACCGGGAGAGATGTCGACGACAAAATCGGCTGCAATTCAAAAGCAACCTCCTTTGCATCGCATGTGAGCTCGCTCCATCAAGTCTGGTCCGCTGGCTTGAAAGTGGGCCGTCACCTTGACAGACTGGGATGGCTGCTAATAATCAAGCCCTATTCCCAGCCAAGCCTATGCAAAGAACAGCATGAGCGCCTGTCCTCCATTATTTGGCCTTTGGGGCCTCAGTAAAGAAGAAGTCAAGACGGAGAAGGGCGAGAGAGGGGGGGGGGCAGGACACGCCCGGCGCACTGACCTGGAAGATGATGGGCGTGCTGGCTCGGGAGCCCAGCCCCGTGGCGCGCTGGGGGCCCTCCGCCAGGTTGACCAGCAGCTCGTCGCGGCCCAGCGGCAGGTGCGAGCGGCCAGGAGGCTGCAGGGAGATGACGATGGCGCTGGTGTTGTCGGCGCGGAGCATGCGCTGCCTCCACCGCAGCAGGGCGTGGCTCACCAGCTGCTGGGCATTGGTCACCCCGCACTGCACCTGGAGGAGGAGGAGGAGGGAGAGGGGCTCCGAGTTAGATCCCCGCGCAGGACGTTACCGCTATGGGAGTCGTTAAAGCCGCGGGACGGTCGCGGAGCCCACCATGGCCTCCTCGTTGTCCTGGCATATGGAGACCGCATCCTGCGGGGGCACCATGTTCCACAGCCCGTCGCTGCCCAGGATGATGTAGCGGTGCTGCCGCGGATCCAAGGTCAGCACGCTGGTGTCCGGCTCCGGCGACACGACGAACTCCCCGCTGTAGAAGTCGTAGCTCCACAGGTCACCTGCAGGCAGAGCGACGGAGGAGCGTGAGCCGGCCCGCCGCCCCCCCGCCCAGGGAAGTGGCGCCCGCCAGCGGGGCTGGGACTCGGACCGCCTCCTCCTCCGCTCCACACGGCCGCGAGCCCCTCGGTCACCTCGGCTCGCGTCGGCCCGGAGCGGGCAGCGGACCGCTGGACCGCAGGCTGTGTCCACAACCCCGCAGAGGTGACCCGTCGGCAACGCCCAGCGGCTGAGCCGTTCGGAGGAGTTAGGGAGCAAGCGACAGGAAAACCGGAATGGCTTCACCTGGAAAAGCTGCCCCTTGCCGAATTTCGCTCATTGTTCTGGCTTGTTTCGAACGCCAGGAGCCAACGCGGAGACGATGCGGCGCAGCTCAGCGAAACGGAGCAGGGCCGGGTTCTGCAGCGTTTAAAGACAGCCGAGATGGGGCCCTGCAGGGGATATCCGCCAAACCTGTCACACTAACCCCAGCCTCTCTCCTCCGAAGACCTGCTGCACGCGATCAGTTTCACACTCGGGAGAAAGAAGTTTAGGTAGTCGATATTTAAAATGTATTTAGGGTCATATCATGACTAGCACAGCTCTGACATCCTAATTTAACAATGCAGATGTGACCAAAAGACGCCTCCTCTTATTTGCTTTCTGAGTTCTTGCATTTCTAGGCGGCGTTCAACTCTTGCTCCTGTGGCCATGCTGTTCCCCGGAGCTGCAGGATACGATCAGGGGCCCAGCGCTAGAACACCTCCCCAGCGCGGAGAGGCACACTCGGGCTCCGCCGCCACTCCGCACGAGGCAGCAGCTCAGCCCCCACGCAGCGTGGGCAAGGGCTAGCCATCTCAGACTTTTGACAGCTCAGGTGCCTGTGGGCTTGCAGGTAAGAGGAATATTAAAACTCAAGTGCTTTTAAAAGATGCCATGCTGAAAATTGCAATTTGGAGCCGTGACAAGGAGTAATTAAGGAGGCACTTAACAGGAGGAAAACATTTTGTTCTGGAAGCTGTCCTCCACTGCAGACCAGACTGTGCCGCACCCCAACTGCCTGCTGCTCTTTACTATTCCTCCAGTCAGAATCTGTCCTTGTGGGAAATAAAAGTTACCCCAGTTAAACCAGATGTCCCCTGTTCTGTTAATCAAAAACCCTCTAACACCATCTTGCCATACCGTCTTTCTCCACTAGGTGGAACCAAAGTGGAGAAATAAAGTGAGGAAAAATGACCTCACAGTGACACTGTTTCCACAGATCTACGAATGCGTACAATTAAAAACAGGCAGACCCCCCCAACAGCTTTAATTCTGTATTGACCTACATCTTCCACAATGAGCTAAACAACATTCCTAAACGCTGCTGCCTGCTTTAACTGCAAGAATAAACCTCCTGAGGCTCGTCTTCTCAGGATTAATGCTATAAGACTATCAAGTGGTCTGCACCACCGCCTGTCATTTATACTTTTTCCTCTAAAAACTCCCACAAAAAAAAAATCAACAGACATTTTGGATGTTAGAGTAAAATACATGATTTTGCCATTGGATTGTACCTTAGTTTTAATTGCAGAGTAAAGTATCAGTCAACACTGTAATAATCTGAATTGGTATCCAAGGCCAGTGCGAGAGAAGATCTTTTAAGTATCCAGACAACTGTCCTAAAACACAGCTATTACTAATCACAGGCAACTGAGTGTTTCTTTCTGTACCGTTCTGTACTATTTCATGCAGAGCCTGGCAGACGTCACTGCTGATGTGTCCCATGGTGCACTGCTCCAGAGGGCAGGTGAGAACTACATGCAGGACACTCCTCATGTCACTCCAGGAGCAGCTTCCCAGTGCAGCTTCTCCATCGTTTCCTACTTTTTGTCCCAGCTGAGGCCTTGTTCTTTTAACTGAACCCCTCATTAAAGCAATAACTGACGCAAGGGACTTTTTCGTAGCGTTGCATTCCACAGACGACATAACGTCAGCGTCCGACCGAGAGCACCGCGCGACCCTGGCGAGCGCGAGACCCCAGTGTTGGCGCTGCCTCGGGCTCCGTCACTGCGAAGGCAGACGAGGAAGCATGGTCCCTCAGGAGAAGCCCATACCCCCGGCCGCCTTCGAGAACCAGCCGGATCAGATCCTTTCACCGGCTCCCGGAGGAAGAATAACGAGCTGGACGGCCCGCATGGCCTTCGTGTGCGGAACAGCCGAAACGTTCGCAGCGCGAGACGGGCCTGCCCAGCACGGCACGTACAGGGACCATGTGCTAGGGTAAAAAGCGTGCCTCCGATGCCTTCGGACACACATGGACGAGAATACTGTGACAAGCTAGGAATACAATGTCAGGAGTAAATTCTTAACTAGTATGTCTCGACTTCTCTGGATACTTAACAGCCTTGATTCATTGCTGGTGGCATGAGAATCTCCCCAGCTGCACTGCCTGGCCATGTGTTAGTGAGATCAAATTTCCTCCCTGGCCTTTACCAGTCATGGGTTCCTAATGATCCCCAGCTCTGAACTGGCTTCATCACTCTGTTCTCCTCCCCACTGAGAGCTGGTGTGTGGGGAGAGTACTGGTGCATCATCCAGGTGGGGCTGCACACTGGTGGTGGTGGAGGGGATCCCCATTACCTGGAAAGTGCTTTGAGTGGAGTGTGCAGAAAAGAGCTATATAAGTATAAAGACACAGACGCACAGCGAGTCCTACCTAGAGCCCGCGCTACAGCGAGGAAAGGGATCTGATCGATGACCGTGCTCCTCCTCACGGGACCGTTGTGGGTCAGCCGGGGCCTCTTCCACACCACCCGATTCACCCCCGACTTCTTGATCACGCTGAAAAACAACCCCCAGGGCAGTGAGGGGCAGCGCTCTGGAACCCCCCGACTCCAGCCCCACACACTCCATGCTCGGGAAACATCAGGCCACAGAGCTATCTGCCCCAGACCACTGGCTTCAAACCCTGGTCCTAGAGGGTCCTAGAGGGCCAAACCAGCAGGTCTCATAAGTAAGCTAGAAATCTGTGACTTGTGAAGATTTGGAATATGTATATATGCCAGTTTCCAAACTGATCAAAGGTTAACTGTTTTAATAGTTCAGGATTGAGCAACAAGCAACTCCTTGCGAGTTAGGAGCTTGAGTATTCTGCATCGCGTGCGACCTCTGCACTACTTACTAAAACAAATCACACGCTTCTATTACAAACCAAAACAAAACTGTTCCAGGCGTTTCCAGAAATCGATGAGTTACAGGTGACCCACAGAAACGTGCTGGACTGGAGTCTCTGGGGCCAGGTGGTGTGGAATGGAGTTTGGCTCAGGTGTGCATCTCTGTTGGAGGCACCTGGCTCAGCGGTTCCCAGCCTCAGAGCAAAGCTCAGACAGGGGGCGCTGCAGGAGACTCAGCCCTGCAGGTGAGAACTACATGCAGGAAGACCCTCTCTGGCTGAGAGCATCAGCAGTGGCCTTCCGTTTCCATTTCAGTGCAAGGAAGCCCTTCACAGTGCGAGTCCTCACGACTCCCGTGTCTCCTGCCTTTGGTTCTCACGTGCACCCAGCCCCTACCTGCCCCCCAGGCCCTCGATGCGCTCCCTCTCCCGGGGCAGCTCGGGCTTATGGTCCTGCGTGACCTCCAGGGCGCGCACGAACTGGTCGGAGGGGTGGTCCTGCAGCCCCACCACCACCCCGGAGTCGCCCACGTGCGCCACGAACATCTTGTCCCCCCGGATCACCACCACGCTCGCCGTGGTGCCCGAGGTGCTGGGCAGCCCGGTCAGCGTCTTCGGCCACTCCGCTGGAGAAGAGAAGGGAGGGTTAGAGCCGGGAGGGAAACCCCTCAAGCAGCAGCTCCGCTTCCATTAAATACAACAGGCTAAAGCTCCAGAGGCCACAACCTCTGGAGGGAAGCAGACTGATTATTCAAACAATTCATGCAACCACTGGTTTAATTTGTTAGGTTGTTTGTGGTCTTTTTCCCTCCAACGATAAAAGTAACCCAAAGGAGCAGCATGTTGGTTCCCAGCAGGATTTCAATATCTTCAGTGGCACAGATATCCACCTGCCTGCCGGAGGTTGTTTGATCCGATCTGGAGTTGCACCACAATCTCCCAGTGGAATACAAACAACAAGAGCTGCTCGCTGGCGCTCGCCCGGGATTCCCTGCATCTCTCTACTAGAGGGGCAGCCCCCAACAGCTGGAGAGTACAGAGCAAAACGTGCCGACCTGCGTGCAGTTTCATCTGACCACTGCTGCGGCTGCACCTTTGCAGACTGACAAGTCACTAGCAAGACCCTCAACTGGAACTGCAACTGAACATGAAGCAGCAGGGCAAGAAGCACAGCACGGGGATCAGAGACCTGGGTCGAACTGGGCGCCAAAATGACAGTTTCACAAGAACGAGCCGCACCAGAAAAATCGGAGACGAAGGAAAAGTCTTTATATAGCTTGCCAGCATCTACTGTGTATCACCCCCCCAGTCAGCAGGTGTGAGCCTGCCCAGTACCAGGATGGGAGACCTAAGGCTGCTGCTGGAAGTGGTGTTAGTGGGGCCAGCAGGGGGCGCTCACCCTGCGGCCTGTGTGGGTCCTAATGCCCCAGTATAGCGACGGGGACACTATACTGTAAAAAGGCATCGTCCTCCCGATGGGACGTGAAAAAAACGAGGTCCCGATTCTCTGTGGCCATTAAAAATCCCAGGGTGTTTCTCAAGAAGAGTAGGGGTGTAACCCCAGCATCCTGGCCAAATTTCTCCCTGGCCTTTACCAATCATGGTTTCCTAATAATCCCCATCTCTGAACTGGCTTCATCACTCTGCTCTCCTCCCCACTGAGAGCTGGTGTGTGGGGAGCTGACTGGCACTCCAAGGTGGCGCAGGGGATCCCCATTACCTGTAAAGCGCTTTGAGTGGAGTGTCCAGAAAAGCACCACATAAGTGTGAGGAATTGCTTATCCCAAGCGGACTCGTGGGAACTCCACACCCAACGGATGTGCTCCAATAGACATTACAGCAGACCCAGCTCTGGTTGAAATATTAGAAGACTCATGTGACTAAGCCTGGGGTTGTTACTAAGAGGGATTTGTTGGAAAGGAGTCCTTGAAGCAGCGTGGTTAACAGCGTCCGCGCTAGAACGAAATTCAAGAGGCGGGACAACCTGTCTAACCTCACTCACGTACTTCAGGTCCTGAGGCTACGGGCACGAGATCGTCAGAGCTGGAGATAAAGGGGAGACAAGTCCCAGTGCTTCTGCTGCCTCTCGTTTAATTAAACCCAGAGCGTGACGAAGTAACTATCCCTCCTGCTGCTCTCCTAACTGAAAGTTTCCCCGTCTGAAGCTCCTCTACAACAAATGGGAGGACAAACTAGCAGCAGGCACTGGCGACAGGTCTCTCCTCCACCACACCAGAAGTCACACACGCGGGGGAAACCCTTCCACCTTTATTTCACGCCTGCTGCTGCGCCCCAGGGTGGGAGATCGGCCCTTCACCAGGGCAGAACAAAGGCACTCAATCCCACAATCCCCCGCGCCAAGCACAGGGCCGGGAAGGACGCAGCGGAATTCCCACACCCCGGAAACCGCCTCCCTGGCGCGGCTCCGCGGAGAGCGGATGACGCCGACCCTCTCCCCGACACCCCGGGACGTAACTAGGGGGTCGGCGAGGCGGACACGCACCCGGAGCGGTTGTTTATAACACATCAGGGGTGCCCATCATGGGTCCCCCCCCCCGAGAACTACAATACAGGAAGTCGGAAAGTCCGGAAAGTCACCCTCAACTTGGAGGGAATTATAAACAATTTTGTTTTGACATAAGCAATTTGTGCAGTTGGGGAGTTTAAAAGTGATCCGCAGTGAAAATGCTGATGCTCCCCCCACAGCTCTCATGAGCCACAGCTGGACCTTTCCCATCTACCTGAAGGGACCTGATGATTTAAGGCCACATTGAAACGGCAAAGGCTGTGGCTTTCCTATACCAGCGACAGCCACCTCCCACCTACAGAACAAAACAGCGAGTCGCACTCAATAAAATAACACCCGAACGCCATCGAGGGTGGGCATTCTCAAAAAGACAGACTTGCCCAGAGGAAACCTTGTAACAGGCGTGTCGAAATCGACCCCTCCAAGAGCCGCAGCCGCTGTCGCAACGCTGTTCGGAATGAGGAAGACTCTTCTGCTGACAAACAGGATTGACAGAGCTCGGACAAGCCTGGACATGAAGCGAGAGAGAGAGAGAGAGACAGCTCTCTCCCTCTGCTGCGGGAGCGCAGCCCTGTTCACACACCAGCCCGAGGTCTGGAAGAGGCCCACCCCCCCGTCTCGCCATGCAAGACAACCCAGGTGTACACATTCCCCCAGCGCTAGCCCACGCAGGTAGAAGGGGCTGTAGTGTGGTTCCACCACAAGCCTGAGATCATGCTCTCAACTGATACATTCAGAACAGATCAAGAATTGAGTTGCATTAATCACGGCTGTCATTTCAATATGCCGCAATGTTTGCCAGGACAAGCAGATTGAAGGTGGGATAATAACCCCCAAAAAGGCACCTTATTTTCCAGAATTCAGAAGGCCGCCAGCAGGGACATTAAGGGAGTCTTTTCACTTAGCTGCAACACTTCATCAGCCCTATTGGCAAATTATAACCATCGTTAGTTACCATGAAGCAAACCCAGAGTTCACCTTTTATTCGTTTGAATACCTGGGGTAGAGAATTGTAGTTTATCTAACATGGCACACATGGCATCGGGGCTACTACAGGTTCTAGGAATGTTTACACTTGACAAAATATCGGTTTTTCACTGTTAACTTGGAAGATTTCTCCTCTTTCCAGATTTTGATTCGCCGTTTTAGTCCACTGACTTGAGTTCTGCTTTGTGAATTTCTACCGTCTCTCTCCGAGCCTGATTTTTAAATTCCCTCCCGAGTGCACCCGCGCCCCGCGCTGGGTAACCACGAGCGGCTTAGACCCGTGTGACGTCACTTTCTAGAATGTGCGGCGCGGAGTCAGGCGGGGTCGGGACCTGTGGCTACCGCCCCCTGCGCAGCTGATTGGACCGGCGGCCCGTCCTCAAACTGCCGAAGCCGCGCCCATTGGACCCAAGGCTCGTCAATCAATTTGAAACCGACAGGAAGAGAGATTTGCCGGGTTTTGAGATGTATTTGCTGACGGCAAGGCTCGAATTTATTCTTTTACGTCTTAGCGTCTTTCTGAAATAACCAAGTGCAGAAAGGGCAACCGTGTAAATAAAAAATGCAGCTACCTCTGATAGTTGTGTATGAGGCTGCATTCATTAATTACACGGGGATTAGACCACGAGAAAGCAAATACCGTTGCTATGTTCCTATTGTATATATATATGGTTTAGAGACAAAATTCAGACCACAAGTAAACAGAATATCAACAGTGCATGCAAAATGCGCGAGGGATGTTCTTCCTCGACCCGAGCACTTTTCACTTTGCTCACGCAGCCCCGCGCCGTCGTTACTGAACGTGTCCACAACCCGCACGGACATTTCTCCCACAGCAAACAGCCCTGCGCCGGGCGAGGCGGGGCTGGGGGTCGGAGGGGGCGACCACCGGGAGAGCTGCCCGCCACCGGAGTGCCCGTTTGGCGCCCAAGTTTAAAACCTCCCTTGCTAGGCTGATCAACGACCACACATGGGACCAGCGCCAAGAGACGGAATTATGCTTGACAGGGGAGCGACCCGAATCGCGTCCATCCCACCTGAAAAACCGCTGTTACCGGCGCTTTTGGGGCCGTTTCCTTGTACAAGCGACATTCCTGGCTGACAGACCTCAGACATCAAAAACACACCTAGCTGCAGACCTATACCTTACTAGTACGACAACTACAATCCTTCTTCCACCGGCCTTGGGAACGCGTGCCCCTAAGGTCTCCGAAATCAGCGTTAAGAGTCGAAAATGTCCCTCGAATCCGCTGGAGACGGCGGAGAGCAGCTCTGGAGAGGAGGGGGGGGGATACTCACGGAGCCGCTTCCACATGGCGTGATGGCAGGCAATGAAGCCCTTGCGGATGGCAGCGCACACTTCCTCGTCGTCCGTCGACCAGAAGCCTCGCTGCTTCTTTATAAAATCCCACAGGTGACTCCGGGCGAACTCGGCCGCCTCCCGGCCGCCGTGCCCGTCAAAGACGGCGAAGAACGCCACCGACCTCCGGGGGCGACACTCGGCGAGGCAGGCGCCGCGCTCCTGCCCCGGGGACGATGCCGCCGCCGCCGCCACCGCGAAACTTTCCCGTCTCTCGGCTGAAAGGTGTCGCGTCCACGTCACTCCGGGGCCGGTGCAGCCGCTGCTGCTCCGCGGCCCCGGCTGTGCCCCGTCCCCGGCGCTGTGCTCGCCAGGCTCGGCGCTGCCCTCTTTCCTCTCCGCCGGCGCGACCGAGTCCAGCTCGTCCTCCCCCAGCTCGGGCTCCACCACCACATCGGTTACATCCTCCATGTATTTCCTGCCGCCCTGGTCGGAGAAGACGCTCACTCGCAACGAGAACAGCTTTTCCATGGCGATAGCCTTTCCCTTCCGTCCGCTCGGGTCGATCTGTCGTCGCTCAGACCGCGTACGCCGTGAATTTTCGCCAAGTTTTCGACACCTCGACAGCCAGCTTCCCCGTACTTGCTCTATTGTTTATTTTCGACGCTTTGTAGGCATGCTCAGGAACGCAGTGACGTCAGAGCCCGGGCACAGGCCGGGGGAGCGCCATCTATCGGTCAAGGCCTGACACCAACACCAAGTAGGGGGGTGGTAACGTTTTGAGCATGAAATATGTTCCTTATGTATATATAGATGGTTCTTATGTGTATGTCCTTGTTTTTTGTATTTTCCCTTATTTGTATATAAAAATTTAAAAACACTTCACCCCCCACATATATAAATCGTTCTAGGGTTTCTTTTTTAACTTGTCAGCCTTGTAGATCAAATCAACTTTAAGGACGGATGATTGCGGGGAAAGATCCTTGATGATTAATAATAATAATCAATAATTGTTTACACTTATATAGCGCTTTTCTGGTGGCTTTACAGGTAATGGGGATCCCCTCCACCACCACCAGTGTGCAGCCCCACCTGGATGATGTGACGGCAGCCATAGTGTGCCAGTACTCTCCCCCCACACATCAGCTCTCAGTGGGGAAGAGAGCAGAGTGATGAAGCCAGTTCAGAGATGGGGATTATTAGGAGGCCATGATTGGTAAAGGCCAGGGGGATGTTTGGCCAGGACGCTGGGGTTATACCCCTACGATTTTTAATGACCACAGAGAGTTAGGAGCTTGGTTATACATCTCATCCAAAAGACGGCACCTTTTTACAGTATAGTTTCCCGTCACTATACTGGGGCATTAGGACTCACGCAAACCGCAGGGTGAGCCCCCCCTGCTGGCCTCACTAACACCTCTTCCAGCAGCAGCCTTAGTTTTTCCCAGGGGGTCTCCTATCCAGGTACTGACCAGGCTCACACCTGCTGAGCTTCAGGGGGCAGCCAGCTGGGAGTTGCAGAGTGATATGGCTGCTGGCTATTAGTGAGTGCAAAATTTTAAAAAGAAAAATAGGGGTAACTCAATTAGGAAAAAAGGTGGGTTAATATAACATGTATCTGTAGATTTAAGATGGAAGGGAACTTCGGGGACTTGAGTGCACTCAAACCCCACGTCACACAAACTCACTTTACTGAAGTCATGTGCCCTTGATTCACAAGGTGTTTATGAATTGCTCATTATCAAGAGACTACACTTACATGGTTGTCTTTGGCATAATAACAAGTACATATAGCTTAATATGACACGAATAATATGGAAGATTTCGTTATGTCTCTTGTGTTAGCCTTGAGAAGGTTCATGTTAAGGAAGTGTGGTCTACAGAACAAGGGAACGTGGAACAAACAAGGTTTCAACAGTACTCCAGACAATTATTAATTAGAATATTTATTTGGCTGACTACTTTATCCCAGGCGACTTTATAAAGGCACAATCAGAAACCTACAATGCCCTGTAATTACAATCATACTAGGTATATAGTTTATTATTTAGAACTTGAGATTTTCTCGGCACCAGCATAGGGGAGTGTTTTTACAAAATAAGCGAAACCGTGCAGCCCTGATTAGGGTGTGATTGGACTTTGTTTGGCCTGTTCATGTTGTGCTGCATTTAACACGTAAATAAATAAGTCACAATATGTCTCCGTGAACAAAAACTGCCGGGTGGAGACTTGAATCAGTGGATCAAATAAAAACAAGTAATCACGAGAATGTTTGATGTTTTGACACCACCGCCAAATTGATCATAATCAGCTGCACTCGCTTTCGCGTGCGTTTTGCGTGAGAAAAGGCTGCTCCCACAGGGCCAGCCGATCTAGAGTTATACTACCAGTATAACGGGCGCTGCAAAACCGAGGTCAGACGGGTTTCAAGTTTTCTTTTGCAAACAATCTCAGCAGTTCGAGAAAGGCCAGCTCCTCTGCGCAGCGTGCAAGCGTACGCGCTGACGTCACCGCGCACGCACGCCAGCGCAGAGCGCAGATGAAAAAGTGGAGGCCGGGGGGGGCCAGCGGAGAGGGAGTGCGAGGAATTGGGGCCAGCGGGAGAAATACGGGATTATGGTTATCGGGGGGTGTGCTGGTGCTTTCACGGGAGTAGCCTGCGGTTTCCGTCGCCGTCTTGTCACCGGGAGGGTGCTGGTGGAGCTGGGGAGAAAGGGGTACTAGCGAGGGCAAGGGAAGAGTGGTGGTAGCTGGAGGAGGAGGCCGCGGCGGGGGGGCCGAGGGGAGGGGGGGGGTGCTCGTTACAGAAAAAGGAAAACAATATGGCCGCCGTGGAGCTAGAATGGATCCCAGAGACTCTGTATAACACTGCTATTTCCGCCGTGGTGGATAATTACAGCCGGTCGCGAAGAGAGATCCGCTCACTCCCGGAGAATATCCAGTTTGATGTTTACTATAAGGTAAGGCGGCCTTGGGGAGGAGGGGGCGGAGGCTGAGGCTGATCTGGACGTGGTGCAGCCGTAGCGTCTGGGGTCTGTGACATAATGTAAATGGCTGCCCGACCATGTTCGGGTCTCCCCTGTCTCTCCTCTTGCCAGCACGCACGGTTTTCTCTCCCGATGTTTGTTTGTTTTGTGTGTGTGTGTGTGGGCGCAGTGAGAGCTTCCTCCGGATCATTTCGGAGCGGCGAGGGGTCGAGGAGGAAGAGGCACTGAGCTGGTGGGAGAAGATCGAATCGAGGTGTGGTCAAGTTCACTTATGAATGGGGGCATCCTCGGATGCGACTTTAAAGATTAATCTTTGACAACCAGGGCGCTGAGAGGCCTGCAGGGGTGAGAGAGCCCCCTTATTCAGGTGGTGGTGGTTGTCGTTGTCGGTATGATGGAGTCCCCCTACCTGTTATCTGTCCGCAGTACGGTACAGGAAGAATCTAACCATCGCGGTTCGCACCGTCAGGCTAAATTGAGTGAAATGGAGTGAAAGTCAAAATAAAAAAAACCGTATTTGGTGACTCGCCGGAGTGGCGGAGTTTTCGCGATACTCTTCGGAGTCCTGAATCGCGAACCCTTTTCCTTGTATGTCTTTAATCGCAGGCTTCTCACGGAGCCACAATGAAGCTATAAAATAAAAAAATCCCACGACTGGACTGCACACACACATATATATATACACACACACGCACACAAAAAAAAAAAACAATTGCAAAATCGCCGCTTTCCACGCCCGTGGGTTAAAACCGTTTTTGTTTTTCCTCTCTCGGCCGGGCATTAACTTCTATAACATGCTTGTGACCTCGCAGAAAAGACGACGTATTTTTTTCCAGCGGCAACTTCGCTGAATGACACGTCAGAGTGTGAGGGAACTGAGCGGTGCCGTTCTCCCGGACGGGAGGCGGGCAGCCCTGAATAGCCCTGCTCGCTTTTGGGGACGGCCTGTATTGTCTGCGCACAATGCCCGGAGAGAACAGAATCCCAACACTGAGCCCTTCTGAAAGAGGACATTATCAAGACATTATTCTGCCGCCCCCCTCTCCTTCCACACCTGTTATTTAATGAAAACCTCATGCGCCTTTTCTGCTGCCTCTCTGCCTAGGTACGGAACCTGAAGCTGATTCCTGGCTCCGCTGAAGAGCGGCGTCTCATTTTGTTCACGTCATTTATTTTTTTTAGCAAAATTTCCACTCCCACACTTCGCCCTGTCCTTTTCCAGAGGCCTTGTAAACCACAGATAGGTTTTTTTTTTTACTTGACGAGCCCGGTCTGTAACTTACCCGTTAGCCTCTTCTCTTTGGGGGCAGGTAGCCTCGCCGAACTGCCCCAGGTCTGCTGCCCCTCATTTTGGCGGCCCGTCCAGTGAGGCTCACGTTTATCGTCATCTATCTCTGCGGACGTAGTATGTCCGAGCCGAGGACGGAGCAGTCATCAATGAATGCCAGACGTTGCCGGGGACAGTCTTCCAGAAGTTCCTGCTGCTCTTGGCACTTCTTCCGAGGGCAGCCGGGAATTTATCTCGCAGTGTTTCCTGGCAGCCCGTCTCCGTACTTAACGCGTGGTCCAAGTCAAACCTACCTTTGGCTTAATGGCCTTTCCTGTACATACATGTAAACAGTTGGCATGTGTAACATATACAGTCTCTTTTATTCATGTCGGGTAGCTCGGCGGGGGGGGAAGTTTGGAATTACCCTCGTTATCTGAGAAGGGAGAAGGCAGAGGGAATAAATTGGGGAATGGGAATGGAAAAGCCCCTTGTTTTCCCAGGAAAGATATGTCCTCACTGATGTGCCTCCCCAGAAACCCCGATCTCCTTATATTTATCTCCGGCGTCACCCCCGCGCAGCAGGTGCTGGCGCTAACCATGCCAGTGAGCCGTGCTGGAGCCCTGCAGCTGGTACAGTTATGTCTCGGGCAGCCTCTGGTTGAGACCTAACACACATGCTCACCGACCGAATTTTATTCCTTCACTCAGAAAAGGCGGTTCAGATTACGCCCCCACCCCCAGATCTTCATTGAAGGTGCTGTCCTTCGGATGAGACGTAAAACCGAGGTCCTGACTCTCCTTGATCATTAAAAATCCCACTTGTAACCCTGGTGTCCTGGCCAAATTTCCCATCGGCCTTTACCAGTCATGGCCTCCTAATAATCCCCATCTCTGAACTGGCTTCATCACTCTGCTCTCCTCCCCACTGAGAGCTGGTGTGTGGGGAGAGTACTGGTGCATCATCGAGGTGGGGCTGCACACTGGTGGTGGTGGAGGGGATCCCCATTACCTGGAAAGCGTTTTGAGTGAGGTGTCCACTCTATATAACTGTAAGGTATTATTATTAATTACTTTTTGGAAAGTCTGCTGAGGGTAGTCCCAGGCTAAGCGGCATAGCTGGAAGAGCCCGAGCTGCCAGTTTTCCAGGGACGAAGTGCTCGTGACGAGCCTTAGAATGACACCCTTTAATCTCCTGCCTCGAGGAATTAAAGGGGAAAAGTCCAGGAGGCTGAGCTCAGGGTCTAAAAGCTGCTTAATTGTCTCGCTCCATGCATCTGAACAGGACCTAGTGTGCCCGTTGGACCGAGTGACCTATATCTGTCCACAGGACACTAGACGACCTGGGACTGGACTGGCCTAACTTATCCGAACTGGTCCACCTTGGTCTGTGCCTTTCCAGTGAAGGATACACTTGTCTTCTATTCTGCCTTATCTGCAGTGTTTTGTTTTTCTGCTGAGCATAGAAAGCAATGCAACATTTTCTCACATGGGCTGATGCAGACTGGGGAGCTTAGAAGAAAAAATGATGCATATTTTGTTGAGTGTTGAACTGCAGCAAAAATAGAAAGACTGAAATCCAGAAATAAAAACTCAATAATATGTTGTTAAAATGGAGTTTAATGATTATGACACCTATTAGTTTTGGAATTATGGGAAAAAATTTTTTCATTTGTGATGACTCTAGCTATGTATTGAATGCACTTCCAGCTTATTTAAAATTGCATACAAAACATCTCTACGATTTTGTGTCATTTTTGGACACTGAGGCTAATTTTTTTCCCTGTGAAATTAGTTATATACACCTAAATATTTTTCCTGCACATCCATGAGGAGTTGTTCGGAGCCCAGTGTGCTCTCTGTGTGTGACGGGGTGTGCTTTATCAGTCACACTACTCCCGACCCCACTGCCTGAACTGTGTGATAATTCTCTTGTCCCTCCTGCCCTAGAAAAATCCTTTTTTGGGCTGAACTATAGACAGCCCATTCAGGAGCTGCCTTGGCAGAGTGTTTTCATCTGTCCCGGGCAGGCCTCTGAAGCCATGTTGACACAGTGCTGCTTTCAGCTGGGAGAGCTATAGTGAAGAGAGCTTTTCATGCATCGCCAGTGCTCATTGTGGAGATCAGTGTCCTTTTCACTGGGAGATAGCGTTTTGCCACACTGAGGTTCAGTGGTTTCAGTCTGTGTGATCTTTGACCTTCAAAATGTTAAAATATGCAGGCTCTCTTGGACTCCCTAAACCAGCATATTAGGTACAATAAACAAGGGAACTGATTAGGAATAAACTGACAAGTTGAGGACCAGATGTTTAACTTTTAATAGCACCACTAATGTCATAGAGGAAGTGTTGCACCCTTTATTTTTGACGTTTGGAGATGAGAGGTCTGAGCCCTGACACGCAGAGTGCCTGTGCAGCCTCTCTCTCTCTCTTTTTCTCACCAGTGCTGTCTGTGTTCTCGCTCTGTTCCAGCTGTACCAGCAGGGTCGTCTCTGTCAACTCGGTGGGGAGTTCTGTGAACTGGAGGTCTTTGCTAAAGTTCTCCGGGCATCGGATAAAAGGTATACGACACAGGGGTGCCCAGCTCCGCCTCGTCGGGGCTTTGGGGAAGAGTTCGGTATGATAGTGTGACCCCGGAGCTGAAGGGGCTTTGGAGTTGTATATGTACAAATCCATGCAGCGGAGGTTTTCCTCGTGTGATCTGTTTACGGAGTCTTGATGCTGCAGAGTCCGGTCTTCAACTTGGAATTTTTTTGTCATGCACTACCTGGCCTGCGAGACTGCCTGATACATTGAGACAGTTACTGGAATCGCCAAGGACAGTCAGACTTGTTTTGCTGCTTTTGGGCAGAAAATTACCCATGCTGTTTATATACAGACGTGCGAGCTAAACTTGCTGCTGTCCCATGACCCAACTTATGCATAAACTGAGATAGATATATATATGCAGTGACATCTGTAAATCTGCCCAAGATGTATTCTTAGCTTAGCCCAAGATCCTTCTTAATTTTGATACATGATAGACAGGCAAAACGTGTGAACGTCAAAGTTTCTCTTTGAAGAATGTTTTGTAACTGTGTTGCTTGGCTGTGACTGTAACATCTTTAGATTTCCTATTTGCTTGTATATAGAGGTTTAAAAATGTCCAATCTGTGGGGACTCTTAGTAACTCTCTAAAAAAGTTAGTCTTTCACAGTATTTCCCCTTCTCTGAAGACAAAGGAAGCTTTGTTGTGAAAACTGTAGTACACATAACTCATTAGAACACATTAGTCCAGTCAGATTGTGCATAGCTAAGGGATTAGTGTCCTTTAATTAATTTTTTTTTGTGGCAAATCCCGGGAGAGAGGGTGTTAAAGTCATGGAAGTTTGCAGAGTCCTTTCTAAAGCCCTGTGGGTGCTGCAATGCTGTGAGTGACGTGCAGGTGACTCTCGTCCTGCTGTCCTGTGTGCCCGCAGACACCTCCTGCACCACTGTTTCCAGGCCTTGATGGATCATGGTGTGAAGGTGGCCTCCGTCCTGGCGAACTCCTTCAGCCGCCGCTGCTCCTACATCGCCGAGTCCGACGCTCACGTCAAAGAAAAAGCTATTCAGTTCGGCTTCGTTCTAGGTGAGCGTCCATGCTCTGCGTCTCCCGGGTGGGGCTCGGTGGTGGCTGGCACTACAGCCTCACAGCTTGGGGTTCCAGAGCTCCATATACACTTTGTCTGACCGTCTGTCTGGAGTTTGCACGCTCTTGTGTTCGTGCAGAGGTTTTCTCTTGGCGCTGTGGTTTAATGGGGGGGTTTATTTCCTGCAAAACCAGTACTAAACAAGATTGTGGCATGTAAACTAGAAAGGGAGTCGTGCACAGTGATTTCCCATGAATTGGAGTTTACGTTGGCTGCAGTGCTTGATAAGTGATTTAGGTATATTTACACTGCCATGCTGCATTCAATGACTGAATTCGGGGACCCATGAACAGCCCCTAATAAACACCCAGCCTGCTCACAGGCTCGTCTTCATCTTCATCCAGGTGGCTTCCTGTCAGATGCGGGCTGGTACAGCGATGCTGAGAAAGTGTTCCTGTCATGCCTGCAGCTGTGCACACTGCACGACGAGGTGCTGCACTGGTACCGGGCTGTGGAGTGCTGTGTGAGGTGAGCTGTAAGCTGGCAGGTGGGCAGCTCTGGGGCAGAGGTGAACTGTCCTCGTCCCATGAGCAGGGATGACCATGCTTAGACCAGGAGTGAGCATGGCCCATGATGAGAAAGTGTTTCAATCCTGCTGAGTCTACCAAAAAGCAAACTGAAACGTTAAACAGAAAGGTCGTTTTAAATTCGTGCTTTCTAAATAGCCATCCAGAATTATGCACACCTTTTCGGCGAGACTGCATTGCTGCGCTTCCCGAAAAGAAACGCAAAATTAGTGTAGCACGAGCGTTCTGTGAAATCGGATGGCTGTAACAGTACGGCTTTGTGCATTTTGGTTGGTCCTAGGTTGCTCCACGTACGAAATGGCAATTGCAAGTACCACTTGGGAGAAGAGACCTTTAAGCTGGCCCAGTCCTACATGGAGAAGCTGGCCAAGCATGGTCATCAGGCCAACAAGGCTGCACTGTACGGAGAGTTGTGTGCCCTGCTTTTTGCAAAGAGCCACTATGATGAGGTACGCTGAGATAAGAGAGGCTGATGGGTGAAAGGGTGTAGTGTTTGAGTGAGTGTGGGCAAGTATATGTGCCACATTGTGCTGTGTCAGAAACCTGGATGGTCTTGGATTTTATCTTGCATGATTTTAGAGTGGTGAAAGACACGGAGGTATATGAACCAAGAGAAGAGCCTCACCCTCAGCCAGCCAGTCCTGAAGCTCATTACACTGAGCCACACCAACACCAGACAAAATACAGGCTCAGTGATCCCAGTCTGGCCATAGAAACTGGGACAACATAGGAAGGCCTGGCTTCCCAGGGACAGGCTGTGCTCCCACTGGCAGCTGGGAGAAGCAGAGATAGACGTGCACATTCTGCTACACCACAGTAAATACTCTGGGATTAGACAAACATTCTCCCTGAAATAATTAACCTAATCCCAGAATTCCCACACCTGCCAGAATCGGAACAGCTCCCGGGGAAAGGAGATCAAACGTAATGGAGCTGGCAGCCTAGTGTTCAGTATGAGATATCCTGTCACAGCCTTGGAAACAGAAAATGAGCCTCTCAAATAATCCTACGTTTTTTTTTTGTTCTAAATGTGTTGTAATTGTTATTGCATTAGCAACATTGTAATTCAAGAGTCCTGCCAATAAAACCTATTGAATTTGAAACCACACTATCCTTCAAACCCATTTCTCTTGGCATGGCCTCTAATAACCGTCACCTCCTAAGTATTACAAGAATGTGTTCAACGGAAAGAAAACCGAAATCATTTCTCGTGTTCCACGTGTTTCCTTGCCAAGTTTCTAACTACAGGGCTGAGCATGAGGGTAGAGCAGTGGAGACTAAGCAGTTGGAGTGAAAATCTGTACTTGGGCTCTTCTTTGATTCTGTTTTTTTTAAAATATGCGTTTAACCACTGACTGTATGCAGGCACAAAAGCAAGGCTGGTCACCCTTCTAGTGTTTAAGCAGAGTCATTCTGAAGAATTAAGGGACAAAAACAGTTTCTTCCTGTTCTGAACAGTTGCTTCTGTATAAGCCTCTGTGGTATTTGTGCTTTCAGGCTTACAGATGGTGTATAGAAGCAATGAAGGAGATCACGGTGGGTCTGCCTGTGAAGGTGGTGGTTGATGTCCTCAGACAGGCATCTAAGGTGACTGTTAACCCTGTTCATGTTCACTCATTATTCCTGCTGGTGATCTGTGATAATGAGCTACAGCTTTTTCCTGGATCTTTCAAGTCCAGGAGAGCTCGGCCACACGGTGGTATTGTTTCTCAGTGGTGTTTGTCTCTCTCTACAGGCCTGTGTTGTGAAACGCGAGTTTAGGAAAGCTGAACAGCTAATAAAACATGCTGTGTTTTTGGCACGGTAAGCAGTTATCTACAGAGTTTTTTTCTGTATTCTAGATTTTGTACATTTTTCTAAATATCAAGTTCAGCTTTCTAAATATCCCTTTTTGTTGTTTTTTTTCAGGGAGCATTTCGGACATAAGCACCCAAAATATTCAGACACTCTACTAGATTATGGTTTTTATTTACTAAATGTAGATAACATCTGTCAGTCTGTCGCTATCTACCAGGTAGGTAATATTATGCAATTTATACAGTTAGGTACACATTATCATTTGCTAAGTTCCTTTTAGATTTCTGGGTCAGTTGAGTTTTTTGTAACTGCTTTACGAGAGGTTTCTAATCTGAGCAATTTCTTTCTTCCAGACAGCACTTGATATTCGGCAGTCTGTGTTTGGGGGGAAAAACATACATGTAGCAACAGCACATGAAGACCTAGCTTATTCTTCTTATGTGCACCAGTACAGCTCTGGCAAATTCGACAATGCACTGTAAGTAGCCAGTCTGCAAAGATTAACATGGTTGTTCTGCTCCCAGATCTTTAAATAACACATTTCTGTTGTGACTAATTTAGTTAATTTCCGTGGTTACGTTCCATCTGTGCAATTTACATCCCACATAAATAAAATTGCACATTTGAAAAGCATTTGGCCATGAGGCTGACTCCATTGTTGCGTAGCTCTTGGAAATAATGGTCTCCGGAAAGATGCTGTGCAGTGATCTTTCCTGTTGTTCTCTGGTTTTTTCCTTCCCAGATTCCATGCGGAACGTGCCATAGACATCATTACTCACATTCTTCCTGAGGACCACCTGCTCCTGGCGTCGTCCAAACGAGTGAAAGGTACTGTCCAGCTCCCGGCAATCTTATAATTTATTCCTTACATTTATATAGCGTCTTATATACGTTTATAGCAAGTAGTAATTGCTGGCAAAACTGTCTTGGAAGACGAGCAATATTTTTATTGGATTAAAAGAGATGTATTCACAAACCTGCTTGTTTGCAATGTAATAGGGCCGCTTGACCTCACCCAGTGTTTTGTTGCCTCATTCTCAATCACAGACAATGACGACAATATGATTCTGCACATACCTGGAAATTTCATGTTGTGAATTGGAGTTTTTACACATTACTGTGTCATTTTACATTCATTGTGGTTTGAAAAATGGTGCTGCAGTTCCCCTTGAATAATACATGCCACAGTAGCAGTGTGGGCGCCGCTCTGCAGAGCAGCTCCCTGACATGCTTCGGCTCTGATTTCCCAGCCCTCATCCTGGAGGAGATTGCCATCGACTGCCATAACAAGGAGACAGAGGAGAGGCTCCTGCAAGAGGCTCACGACCTGCACCTGTCCTCCCTCCAGCTGGCCAAAAAAGCTTTCGGGGAGTTCAACGTTCAGACGGCAAAACACTACGGCAACCTCGGGCGGCTCTATCAGTCCATGCGCAAGTTCAAGGTCCGTGTCTCTCGCGCCTGTCCTGCGGGCGAGGATTAGGCAGGGTCCATGCTGTAGGGGCTCCCCGCGCCTGTGTCGCTCTGCGGTCTGCAGGGCCTGTCTTTGTGATGTAAATTGGAGGTTTTTACACATTACTGTCTACAGTTTGCATTCATTCTGGTTTGAAATGTCCCAGAAACTCTGATGCTAAGGTGTCCTAAAGCAAGTCTGAAGCAGAATGGCCCTAATTTGTAATTGCTTTCTTGTTTGAATTGCTCAGCTTCAGATCATCTGAAGAGTTCTTACTTCTTGGAAATGGAGTAAAGACTGTCCTGCTGAAGCTTTAAAAGATAAATTGGTGGCCGTCACTTGCACAAGGGGTCGGGGGGATTTTATTTAATTTGTTCTTGTTTATGTAGCCCAGATCCACAGAATCAATCCTTGTAAGTAGAAGTTCCTTCTAGGTGCCGCTGCAGCCGAAGGGACTTTGGCAGCTGCAGTACTGACGTGCCCTTGTGTTGTGGTTTTGAGCGCAGGAGGCGGAGGAGATGCACATCAAAGCAATTAAGATCAAGGAGCAGCTGCTGGGGCAGGAGGATTATGAGGTGGCGCTGTCGGTGGGACACCTGGCCTCGCTGTACAACTACGACATGAACCAGTACGACGATGCTGAGAAGCTGTACCTGCGCTCCATTGCCATCGGTGAGTGTGCAGCCAGTGTGTGCGCAGATCACTCTGATCGGGCTGTGAAACTCCGCAGCTTCCTAATACACATCGCCACCCTGACCCGCCATGTCCAAGCCAGCTTTCACGGAAGCTTTCGGTTTGTTACACTTCTTGGCTTTTAATCAAATCAAATTAACATCCTATGTAATCCTAACATGACAGTAACTCAAATATATTTCTGCAGCAGTGTCAGTGTTGAGATGTAATCCTAACATGACAGTAACTCAAATATATTTCTGCAGCAGTGTCAGTGTTGAGATGTCCAAGCTTTCAATTCAACTTTATTTGTCATTATACTTACACAGGTGCGTAGTATAGTGAAAAGTGTTTCTCATTAGTCACTCAGGTGCAGTATATAAATAGAACAGAAGATAAAACAATAGACAGTAACACAATAACAGTGTAATAACATAACATGTAATCAAAACTGTGCAAATACGCAATTTTCATTCTGTTCTTTTAAGAAACTTGAAAAAATAGCCAGTTCAGTTCCTGTCTCGAGAGCTGAAGCTTTTTCTCTGTGCATGCTTCTCTCACCCAGGGAAGAAGCTCTTTGGCGAGGGTTACAGCGGACTAGAATATGATTACCGGGGCCTGATCAAACTGTACAACTCGGTGGGCAACTATGAGAAAGTCTTTGAGTACCACAACATCCTGTCCAACTGGAACCGGTTGAGGGACCGGCAGTTTGCAGTGGCCGACGCCCTGGAGGATGTCAACACCAGCACTCAGGCCACCCAGGAGGTGGTGCAGTCCTTCCTCCTGTCCCAGGGCCACAGCGAAGGGGCTGCCTGCTGAGCCCTGCACGTGCAGCCCTCCCGCAGAGCCCCTCTAGAGGCCAGACTGATGTGGGACACCACCACGACCGGGGGGCAGCCTGCCTGACTTCAGAAAAGGACAAGGAACTCTGCCCCCTAGAGGCCTCTGTCCGCGTCTCACCTTTGCCCTCACCAGCAGCTCATTACTGGCACCTGCTCCTCAAGAGCTGGGTGGAAGGTGCTGTCCTCATGCTGCGATAACCAAGTATCACCCACACAGCTTCTGCAACCCCCTTGTTTTCCCCTCTGTCCTACCAGGCTATCAGACCCTTTAAACCAGCTTTAAAGAAGAGACAAAGGGGAAGAAAAAAAATATTTTGCCGTTCATTTGATTTTTGTTACTGACTTTTAATTGCTGAGTAGCCACATACGCCACATTTTGGAATTCAATGCATCCACAGTCCCAGGCTGGGAGTCTTTTACATAGAAGTGCACAGCAGCAAGTCCTGGGGTCAAGCAATATATTTCTACAGGAAAACGTCAGCGACCTCAAATCTGGAGCCTTTGCTGTGGAGAAGGATAGTGTTTGGGATCGTCTCCCTATTGTAAGGGATGTGTGTGTGCGTGGGCATCACACATGTCCGAATATCAGCCCAGTGAGCGATGTTGCATGTTTTTAGATTGTTCTCATCACTTGTGGACCAGTTATTCTTTTTAATATTTTGCTTCTGTCTTGGCATCATTAAAACGGGGAAAAAAAGTCAGTGTCTGGTCCTCAACCAGAAGAAATTATATTTGATTTGATTACTTTAAAAGTACAATTAAATTGCACCCATGTGTTACATTTGTACTCTGGATTCTTTGGACCAGTGGCTTTGCTCCTGCATTAGATAAATGGCCAATTTAAAGCTTTTAAATTTTTTTTACCCCCACTTTAAATTTAAGATTGATTGTCAATGCCAATGATCCTGAAGTTGTGTGAATTACAGTTTCAAGTCAAAATAGCCAAATCGTAAAACTAAACTCTAGATGTATAGCAGTGATCAGCTGGTTCTGGGATTTTAAACGTTGCCAACAGAAGTGTTTTAAAGGGGCAGAGGTCAGGTTACAGAGTTTGGGGAGCAGTGTACCCTCACTCAGTGGGAGGTGACGGTGTACAGACTCTGTTGTCCAGGGCGCGTGTTGTTAGGTTTGGCTCAGATGTCCAATCGCATTGCTGAGGTCCCGATACGTGCAGTCTGACACTGAATTCAGAGTAACTCTGCTGCCTGCTCGAGTCTTCCTCTGAGTCTCTTTGCTCATGTTTCACATCCTCAAGCCCCTGCAGTCCTCCCAACAAACACTACAGGTGACACTGAAGGCTGTTATAAAGGGGCTCTAGAAAGTGGGACAAACATTTTCACTGATACACAGGAAAGATCAAGAGGTGTTGGGTATGTAATCATGGTGTTATAAACAGCACGATCGCTTTGTTTCACTCTTTCTGGGACAAACTGCATAGTGTTGTTTGTCCTGTGCAGGGACTGTACTGAATTGCGTAGTCTGGGGAAGTGGATTTGGCTTGTTGCTAGAGTAGCCACTGCACAGGACTGCTCGGGATGCTATGCCCAACCACATGTGTACAGGAACGTTAACAGCTGGATCTGATTGACCACTGAGCCAGCCGGAAAGCACTATTCTTTGTTTCCTGCTCCACTTGGTCTGCCCCTTCCTCCTCTCCATCACGTCACACCGTTCCTTGTGAGGTTCTACACAATCGTATAAACAGTGTGCATCATTTCACCACTTGTATTCAAGTTTATGTACTTTATAAATCACTGCTAATATATTCTGAACTTTTGTTTTGGCTCCAGTGCATCGATCGGTTCCTTTCACAGCCTTCTAAAACGTAATCTCAAAAGTGAATCATGGTTCTGTTCCTTGTTGCATTTTAGCCCGTCTCTGACCGGTGTCCAAGCCTTAGCCTTAAAGGATATCCAGCCTGGTGATCTGGGCCTGTGGTGCTATCTCTACGTCCCCTCGTGTAAAGAGCAGGTCCTTCATTCCAGCTGTTTGTCATCATGTGTGAAGGGTCACTGACAGCCCCTTCTATGCAGTAGGTACAGGTGCTCTGGGGTGGTTAGTTCTGATACGAACACACGGAGCTGTGAATCTCCTGTGCCTATTGTGGCCAGGCCCTCGCTCACAGGCGGTGACTCGTGCTTTAGTCCACGCAGTAGACTAGTCAACAGTCAACTAGTTAACGGTGCTGATGGCGAATTTTAGTCCAGGACCGAGTGATGTTATCAATTTTGAATGCAGTATATGTTCTGGGAACTGGTCCAGGTAATTTACAGAGCTAGTGTGCTAAGTGCGTTGTAGTTCTGTGAAGTGGATTTTTTGCCTGTGCTGTTATTCCCGATTGTAAATGACCTCGACCCTAGTTCACACTGCCTAGCCCCAACAACATCAATCCAGCCAGTGACACCAGGGACAGAATCAGGCACATCGGCCATTTCTCTCTTGTGCAGTCCAAATTTTAATACTGTTATAGCATTATAAGCGGGTTTTCTACGGAAAAAGGCTTAGAACTCCTTCAAGCAAACTCGATGACTCTTCAGGTTTCATTTTAAATTTAATTTTAGCTCCAGAAGTCCTTTATTTTTTTTCCCCCTTTCACACCATTAAAGATCTAGAAACATGCTTCATTAGCCTACCTTGCATATGGAGAATGCAGTAGTTCAAAGAAATCGCACGCCTTCAGTAGACTTGGGCACCGCAGAACTTGCGGAGTTCATATGGACACACTTCCCATAATCCCTCGATTGAAAAATCATGGCCGTGGGAAGAGGCAAAGGATATTATGGGGTGACGTGTTGACGCAAGAAAATTTTCCTTCCTTCTGGTGCTCCTCAAAATGTGATGTGAACGTTCTAGACAGGTTCTTGTCTGTTACAATCCATGTTTCTCTTCTGTAAAAACACTAAAGGCATGCAAAGAGCTGATATGAGTATAAAAGATGCTTTTTTGTCATTTTAATGTGGCTTCCAGTAATGTAGCTATAAATCATCATGAATGTCAATTTAAGGGCTGATTTGTGGTATTTTGGACACTTGTTTTTGTACAGAAAGGTAAGTCCTAAAAAAGGTGGTTTATCCCAGTCCTGGTTCTGGAGGCCCACACACCTGCTGCCTTTCATTCCACCCCACCTGAATATTTACAATACTGGCCTTTTTTCTACTCGAAACGTGTTTGATGAAAGGCAGCAGAATATTATGAAATGCAGTAATCAAAAGGCAACATGCAAGGGGTTTGAAAGCCGAAAACACTCCCAGCACTTCAAAGAAATGATCCTGTGTGAATTCCCATTATGTAACAGAGCTCTTTTTGGTATAAAAACCAGCAGATGCACAGGCCTTCAGGACCAGGATAGGAAATCCTTGGTTTCTCCATTGCCTCTGGAATATACTTTGCTTCCCAATTTCCCACTGGAACCATCCTTGAAAGGAAGGGAGTGTGTCTCCATCTTGGGTTTCACTTCTACTGGATGGCTTAGTTGAAGTAATTCTTTGAGATTAACATCCCCTTGAGCCCCTGACCTAAGGCCGCCTGTAAGCCTTAAAAGTTGGGGCTTTGCTGAACCTAGGTTTGGAGACTGCCTCTTAGATGAGTAAAGAATGTGCAGAGGAATCAAAGTTTGTTCTAGGGAGGAAGTTGATCACTCGTGCTTCAACCCCAAACAAGAGCATGGCTCTGAAACAACTAAGGTGCTGTTCTCTCAAGAGGATTTTTCAGCAAAGCCCAAGTCCCTCTTTTATAGCAGAAGATTAACTGTCTTGGAATGCTAGAACGATGGAGAACGTAGTGTAGACGGCTCATGAAAATGGCAGAAGAATGATCAATTCTTTAATAAAGGGATCAGCCAATTCCTTTTGGGGAACTGAGAGATGGTGCAGCAGATAGGTCCTGCAACGGTGAATTTGTTCGGTGCACAAGCAGTTGTACACTCCCTGGGAGGTTTCACCATTTTAACACTGATTTGTGGAATTGCTGTGTGCACCTTGTGCCTCTGAACACAGCACATAAATGTATTCTTTAAATGCTCTAGTTTTACATGAAATTGGAGTAGGGATTTAGCAATCTGCAGTAAGTGTCTGAATGTTCAGTTCAAGATCTAAGTGTGTGTTGCTTTCTGACACAGTAATGAGCGGTATGTCTGTACTATGCAGAAAGGGATTATGAATACATGGGGGTTGACTGTGAATACTGGGGCCTTTGACAGGCAAGAGCAGCATTGTGGGATGGCAGCTGTATAGGTTAGCACAGGTACTATTTGCATATGTGTCATGTTTAATTATATGGAACCAGTCCTTCGTTCATAGAATTGAGTGGCCTTAGTGTGTGATTTGAAGTGCTTATTTTCCCAAAATTAATTCACAATAAATTATCAAGTTTTGTGCTGCACAACTGGTGGTTCACCCTTATAGTTCTATACTTTTTGCGTTACTGCTGTACTCCAGGAAAACCATTTGCATTCCTGCTGTTCCCTTAATCTACATTGCTTAAATACCAATATGAAAATGGAGAAAGAATATGCTTGAAGATAATTTTATTTCATATTAACACTGTACTATTTTTGTATTTTTCATAAATATTTTAACAATGAGTATTCCACTCTTTTAAAGCTTTTACTGGAAGGGTTAAGGAAAATGAATGTGTAAGTTATGAAGTGACAAATTAAATACATAGTTTAAAATCCCCCCCTCAGTAGTGCCATAATGAGCCTGTGTAAAGAGATCAACATTGCTAATGTTTAATCAAGGATTCTTTCATTGCCTGTGTATTAATATAACTCATTATAACAGAATCCTAACTCCATAAAGTCTGCAGTGCCCAACATTGTGTAGCCATCAGACCATATTAAACATTTGTAACCAACATTGTGAATTTCTGTAACTATTGCTGAAGGAAACAAATATAGTATTAATGCAGCCTCGGGTAGCCTCTCTCTTTTTTTTTTCATTAAAAGAATGAGTGCTTCTTCATGTGACGTGGCTTACGCTTGAACAATATTAAAAACTGCAGTCTTGATAGAAATGCTGAGGTTGATGTGCAGGATGAGCGATTGTGACGGTGTTTGGCTATAGCTCAGAGACAGCCCAGCCCTGGAAGACAGCACACCAGCTGGAGCTCCAGTGGAAGTGTTCACTGTTGAAAAGCGGTGAAGCCCCATACCCGTTTCCCCATCCTTCCACTTAAAACTCAGGAATGCCCCCCTGCTTCTGTCCCCGTTATTCTGTAACTTTTTTTTTTCCTACAACTGACACCCGAAAACATACAACAATCACTCAAGGGCTTTGCCTTTACCGGCATTTGCCCCTGGGGCAGGAAACGAGAAACACAAGTGGGTAAAAGGAAAAACATTAAAAATTGAAAGAAGAGTTTAAAAGAGGGGGTCTGCTGCAGTTTTTAAGCAGACAGAGGGGGGGAAACTCCACATGAAGCAGGCAATTAGAGCTGAATCGCCCACTATAAGTGATGGCCTGATGAAGTACAGTATTTGTGTGTCATGTTCTCCAGACATTGGGGCACTATGGATACTAACATAAAGCTAAAAGAGACTTTAGCAGCATTCCAGAGGAGACTTGTTTTCTACCAGTTAAACAGTCGGTAAAAGTGCAAACACGCGACTCCTAGGTGTGAAACCCTGATTCCCCTTTTTCACAAATATTTTGCCTAAGGCTTAGCTTGTCAGCAGGTTTTTGTACTTGTTCCATTCCATCAAGGTGCTCCTGCAGGGAGATGTGGTGCAGTTCAACCTGAACTGCTCAAGTGCTGGAGGTATGCTGATCACAGCAGGTTCACTCTTCCTCCTTCGCCGCCTTCTCATCCCTGGTGAGAAATCGAATATGCATCCAGATGCACCACACCTGGAAAAGAGAGCCGGACAATCGCTGGGAAAAGAGACGAGATAATGTGTCCCTTACAACTAAAACAATTTGACCAAGCCATTATCAAAGCCAGCAGTCATATCACCCTGCAACTCACAGCTGACAGCTGCATCTCACAGGGCACCAGTCTGGCGAGTACAGTTTCTGTGGCACAACTGTCACGTCCTGCTCTCCTGAGAAAGCCAACGTCGGAGGAGCAGCAAGAGGACGCGTGCTGTCCTGCTGGAACAGTGTCCCGTCCGGGCGAGCCCACAGGTAGTGTGGCGCCGTGCAGGCAGGTCACAGTTAATCGTTAAAGGTGGGGCTCTGCAAGACACAGCTCCTCCTGTCCAGAACTTCACGCTTGGGCCTGTGCATCGATGAATCTGTTTTACACCCCAATCAGCGCATCGTTGTGCGCGTTTGTGACACACTCGCCCATGTCTTTCTACACCCGCCGATGTCCGCGTAAAACCTTGATTCATCGCTGAAACCGACTTGGCTCCACCACTGATGAATTCAGTGGCTGAAGTCGCTTACTCCAGCCTGCACCATTCCTTTCTGTGTCTTTCCTTTTTTTTCACAGAGACTTGGCATTCAGTATCTCGCCTCCTGTGCCCAATCGACTCACACTGATAAGCTGAATAAGCGCTTTTGCAGTACAGTGACTCACAGATATCGTCGTCTTAAAGCATCCAAAAACATTCAATCGTAATGCATTTAATTCCTTTTTCGGTTCTGCTGTCGGTATACGTTTTTATAGAAGACGGTACTGCAGAGCACCAGGGTTTGATGCAGTATTGCCGCATCGATGCAAACGGACACAGAAACTGCATTACCGCGGTGTTGTCTCGACCCCCTCATTCAACACTCCTGCAGATCTCACCTCCACAGTGAAGCACAGCAGCCTCCCTGCTATGAGGACGATGGCCCCCAGCCCTTGCAGCCAGGCCGGGATGGAGAGGGGCTCGGTCAGGACCCCACGCTGATACCCGTACAGCCACACGGGCAGGACATGCAGCCCACCGATTGCCAGCACGCCTGGAGGGGTCTTAAAGCCTGAGCACAGTGGAGAGGGCACACAGCAGGACAGTGGGCACTTCTTCATTTCATAAGGAAAATAAAACCGCAGACATGTTTTTTCAGCAGAAACAATATATATATATATTTTTTTACTTTTCAAAACTTAAATGCTTGAAAAAGAAGAAATGTTTATTGCAAACAAACAACCTCTTAGGTAAATGAAGTAATCAGAAAGGTCGGGAAGTAAAACCCTGCAGGTGTGTGGTTCTCTAGGACCAGGATAGAGAACCCCTGTCCTAAACTAAACAACTGTGAGACTTAAAGACACACTTTTTCATATTCATCACCCTGTAATCAGAACACTTTTAGGGAGCTTAATCCCCCATTTCTCCCAGTGAGGATCTAAGACACAAATTGTATCCTGTGTTCAAAATATTAACCTGCCCTGAACTCAGATGTTTTAAATGTGTTGCCCTTAATATGTGCCTTCATATATTTCATGCAAGATCATTTGACTCCCTTGGAGGAGTATAGAGGGGGGAAAAAATACGTTAGAATTTATTGGACAAAATTCTAGGAATAAAAAGATAAATCTCAAAACTAATTGAATGCAGTGTGCAATATGGAGAGAAGGGGGAGACCACCTTCTAGTAAAAACGATAAAACTCTCCCGAGTGACCTTAAAGTTTCCACAAGGGTCAGTTGAATACACAGGAATGTCCGAGCAGGATGTGCTGCCCTGTCTTCAATGGAGGGGGGTAGCTGCACTATATTACCGCTGTACGGTCGTGTGCAAAAGAGATGTCGAGGAAGTGTCCTCGTTGGAAAGGCCACACCCTTTTCGCCGCCCGCCGCCCGCCTCCCGCCGTTGACCGTGGGCGTGGCTCACCATTGGCCATGACAGCCTGCACCCAGGGGGGGCCCGCTCCCAGACGGCTCTTCCACTGGGCTCCCAGGGCGCTGTGCGTGCAGACGAACACGCACCACTCCACCGCCGCCACCAGCCAGCCCGCCTGCGAAGAGCCCCCCGGCACGTGAGCAGCTCCGCACAGCTCCCACGGCCTTATTATTATTACTCATCAAATTGATTGATTAAATTAAGCACTGTTCGATATGATGCAGCTCTGTAACCCTGCGACACAGCTGACAGCCCACTGAAGCCCAGCAGGTATGAGCCTGGTCAGTACCAGGGAGACTCCTGGGAAAAAGCTAAGGTTGCTGCTGGAAGGGGTGTTAGTGGGGCCAGCAGGGGGCGCTCACCCCGTGGCCTGTGTGGGTCCTAATGCCCCAGTATAGTGACGGGGACACTATACTGTAAAAAAAGTCACTGTCCTGCAGATGAGACATAAAACTGAGGTCCTGACTCTCTGTGGTCATTAAAAATCCCAGGGCAAATCTCCCCTGCAAGATATTGAGACTCAGTGACTTGTAAGTGTTTTCACACACACACACACACACACACCATGGTGCTTCCGGGACGCCCTGTACCTCGAACAGCATGCTCCACAGCATGCCCCGGCCCAGGTTGTCAACCACCACATCCAGCCAGGCCCCGAACTCCGACGTCTGGTTCAGGCGCCGGGCTGCCCAGCCGTCCACCCCTGAGATACCGAACACAGACACCCTGTCACTGCGCTGGTCTGGACTGGGCCCCGGGGTCTGGAGACACAGACACCCCGTC